CGACCATTCCACCTTGCCATGTTCACTCATCTGGCTCATCGCTCGGATCTCTATGACGACCTCCTATTTGCAACAATCCTTGCCTGCGCTTTCTATGCATGCCACCGCATTGGTGAGCTTATCAAGCCTAATGACCACTCCCTGTGGGACTGGTGCAAAATGATTAAATGTGCCTCTCTCTGCTTCCTCCCCAGTGCTCATGTTAGCTATTATCTTCCTTATCATAAAGGCGACTGTTTCTATCAGGGCACCACCATTCTCCATCTTCACCATGCCATCACCTGCCCCATTCAACTGCTTGCCACCTATGTCTCCTGACATGACCACTGTCATGGCATGCACATGGCTCTTTTCCTCTGTGCTGATGGTTCTGAGCCTACTTGCTCTTGGTTCGAGCACCGTTTCTTCGCTCTCCTCAATTGTTCTTTTGGTAGCCACTCCACCCACGCTGGTGGTGCTACCTTCTATGCTAGCCTTGGCCTTTCTAAAGATGTCATTCAGGGACTCAGCGGCTGGTCCTCCCCTGCATGGAAACTCTATATTCGTGACAACCCTTCCGTGTGTGCTGCCTTGCAACTTGCTTCTCTCCATCAAAATCCTTGATTTGGCTTCTCGCCCCCATCTTCTCTCACCTTCCCCTCCCCTGCACACATCATCCTTAGGTCAGTGCATAGCTGATGTGCTTGAACCTTAGACAAATGATATGTGAGGGCCCTCGGTGAATGCTGGAGGCTCGTGAGCCCGCTATGTTCCCTTCTCCAGCCTGACAAGATGACTATGCAGCAGAGGTTGGAGTAACACTGGGTTCCAGGGGTAAGAAGGATGTTTCCAAGGTCTCTGCACCTCATCGTGAATCTCACTTACTCACTCAGCACATGATAAGGCAGCACTGCAGCCATGCTCATTGCTGAATCACGTGAAGTGATCATCCATTCAAGGATGCTGACATATAACAGCAGAAGTCCTAGAAGGGATGGCTCAGGCAGCAACATGTGATTCATGCCAGGCCTGGGCTTGTCACTGTACAGGTGTCATGAATCACTCAGGAATATCCTCCAAACTCAAGCTAATGTGTCAGCACTGATGTGATCCTGACTAGACATGGATTACCTCTAACATCCAGAATCAACTTGTAATGGTCGACGTGATATGGCGATTAGAGAAGGTGGTGGCAGGATAATGTGTATCACTACACAACTCTTAGCAGGCCCTTAGTTGGGTGGCCTGAAGTCCCATGTCAGATAATCATTGACCTGGATCGCTAGCCAGTCCCTCCAGGACTCAGAGAAAGAGTGAGCCTCAGGTGAGGAAGTATGATAGAACTGGGGATCTACTCCCAGTTGGTAGCGATATATATGTATACAAGCAGGGAAGTACCCCGATATATGTACCGTCTATCCTACTTACTACTATAATACATATGTGTAATAGAAACCCCAATATAGCACTATCTAGATCCAGGACCCCTAATACTGGATATGGACCTACAGATCAAGCCGTGTGGGAACCTTACCTTTGTGCACACATACGGTGAGGTGCTGCACCAAATACCTTCTAATGGTGCTGCTCTATTGTGGTGATTTATCGCAGTTATGACCTAAATATAACTATGTGTATCTATTGGACCATGTCTTGCAGCATGAGTACCCTTAACTGAGGAGTCTCATGACATCTCCATCTGGGATTCTGATTCATCAATACTTATCCCCATCTGTTGGTGAAACACCTGACAGTGCTCCGGTTATCAACTTGATATTGGCCAAGACTAATAGAAGGAATGCTGTGCATTCTTAGCCTAGCTTCTATCTTATCAAGTTGGTCTGGATCCAAGACTGTGAAGGAGTCATTATGACTCGAGTCAGGCTGAAGGCCCGATCCGTGGATCTGAGCTGCACGTGATGTGTGCTTTAGACATTCTGGACTCATGACATCATAGGTGTACGTGATGTGTATGCCAAGTGATGCATGTGAATGATCCAGATGTTCTATCTTGATATAGCTCTGGAATGGCCCAGACTTAATGACGCAACCTTATTGAGGATCCTATTCAGGGATCAGGTTGTCGCATTGCTAAGTCTATTGAGGAGCCATTTCATCATATCTTCGGGATATTGATAGCGTAGACTGTCATAACCTGATCCTTTAACAGGTCTCTGATGGAACTAGGATTAGGTTTGATGGTTTAGTCTTATAGACGCTATGAGATCTATCTCCATGACTATTATAGGTCGCAATATAAGCGACTAGTCAATTGGTCTCTGATTGATCCCGATAAGTCATGTGCTGATACAATCTATTTGAGGACTCAATGGTTCCCTTGAGAAGTATGATCGAGATACGATCCATTGTGTCAGATTGTATATGATCAACACATTTGTGATGCATTCCATTTAAGGGCTTTTAGTCACGTGACTGAAGTCTTCCTTGGTCTATGCTTGCTCGCCACCTCTCGATTATAGGCCCTTGTAGCAGCATAGCCCACTGGAGTCCACATGATGACATGAGACTATATGTTGGATCTAGTCCTTTTAGGTAACCGTTCTAACCCATTCTCTATATCAGCATATGTAATGCATATGTAATGGTTTATATGAGAATGGTTAGGGTCATAGGACTGTATTTGTGACAACAGGAGCTCCAGCGCACACCAGGGGCAAGCACTTATAAGCCCTGTCAAAGAGAGGATGGGACAGAGCCTCGCTCTTCCTCCTCATCAGGTAAGTGCTTGCCATCGTTCCTGTCATCAGAGAGCCTCGCTCTGACACACGATATCCAGAAACTTTGTTTGCATAGGGACATATCGGCTCTGCTGTCACTAGGGTCCCCAGCAACAAAGTAAGCTCAGCTCCGCCGCATTCCTGTCAGCTCTGCTAACATTCCCATCACAGAGCCTGATACTTTATCTCTCACCCGCCCTCCTCTCCCTCTTTTCATTTCTGAACTTTTCTCTTTCCTTCTCTGTTTTTTCTTTCTTTTTCTCACCATCCTTCCGTTCTCGCTTTTGTTTTCAAAATTGCCTTTGTCTCCTCGCGTACATTGTATTTACATAGCTGATGTGCTTAAACCTCTGACTACGCAGCAGAGGCCTGCACAACCCGCTGGAAACACCGCAGACATGAAAGCATTTGCGACCGTTACTTAATGACACAAAATTGTAATTGACTGCCTTTTTGGAAAATAAAGTTGCCTAATTAGGGCATAGTGTTGCATAGGTCACACTTTATAACACATTTTCAGTGCATTTGCAGCAGGAGTAAATGCCTTCATGCCTGCAGTGATACTGCTAGCGAGAGGAGGGATAATCTTGGATCTTGAGGCTGTGCTTGGCTCTGCAAGAAGAGGTCTGTCAGATAGAAAGTCACATAGTTTGAGGGACACCAAATCTGTATGGAAATTTGCATCCAGTGCATTCGTCATCAATCTGCACCCTCCACATCCTCATAGTTCGAGTCGACCTCATCAGTCCAAGCATTGGCTGTATATTTTGGGGCCTGTCGCACTCCGTGTCAGAAGCCACAATTGCACAGTGTTGATGGCTCATTTATGTCTCACCATCCAAGAATTGGAATCTCTATATCATATTTGAGCCTGAGTGATCTCGGGCCAAAGTGTCCGCTCGCAACCACCTCTGATAAGCACTCGGATGGGAGTTCAATGGGGGGTCGAGTTTTGAACACGTTTAATACATAGTTTAAAACATGTATAAAACCCTTGTTGTACAAAACTACCTAGTTTTCTCTGGAACAGTACAGTCGTGGACAGCCAAACACGACAATTTTAAGAAATATTTCTAGAATGTCCGATATATATCAGAATCGATCTAGATTGATGAGGGGGTGTCTGTAAATAAATTTGAGGTAAATCCTGTGAACTGTTTGCCTGCAAAAGGTATTTTGTGATCCAGAACCCCTCAAAAATTTGGCAGACCCCTAAGAACAGGCCTAAAAATCACGTAAAATACGCCAATCGACTCCTTTTGAGCTCCTTTATATCATTTTATGGAAAGTTCACCAAAACCAACGATGGAAATTGGGCAAACAATTATGCAAGTTGGCCGTTGTGACTGGGGCTCGTGACCAACAAGTCATATATTATGGTGCGTGGTCACAACAAGGCTCGCACAGTCAAAAACACATCTGGGCTATACAATCAAATAACAGCTCTAGCTCCTTCTAACCCTTCTCTACTGAAGACTCAGATGATAATATGTTCCAATTGAGGCAGCTTTGAACTAATAGTACCTGATCCGTGTGTCTGTAGCTGAAAAACATTCAGATTTTCGACTAAAAATTTGACGGATGCCAAAAATGCACGGGAAAAATACAAAGAAAGTGTTTTTGGACGTTTCTCGACATTCTGAGTCTGAATCTGCAGTCAAAATCGAAAAGTAACGAGCCGTTCGGGCGGAATAAATGTATTTTTATTTTTGTCGACTTTGGTTGTCCACGACTGTAGATTGCAGCACAATAATGCTCTCGTAGGAGTCGGTAGGACCGTCATGTTTGCCTGCATGCCTACGCGCCTGCAACGTGTGATGTCACACATCTTCGATGAACTTAGGCTGCCCACTTGTTGGGCGGTCAGTACTCAATGCAGTGTCTGTTCACGAGTTGTTATATACATGAATCCTCCGGCCGTTGGCTTGCTTCAAATCTGTTGCGGCTGCTCAACACCTCCGCAACTCAGTCCAGTGCACATATATGTCTCACTGTAAAATAATATTGTATGTGCTCATCACCTTTGGACACCCTGACACTAGGAGTGATGGATGTATGAACCTTGACTGCATGTTTAACAGCTTTCCTTTTTCTCGAATAGAGAAAATGACGTCTTTGGGACCTCTGACCATTCTGCAGTCGACTTCGGTCAGAAACTCCATGGTCGAAGACCAAATGTGCTGACATCTCGGGGCTAACATCTCTCTAGACAACCTCTTCATCTACCACTATCACCAAGCTGCTCTCAAGCTCTCGTGTCCTGTCAAGCTTTCGCTCAACCCCATGGCTCCTCTTCCTGAAGCAACCGTGGTTGACGACCTCTTGGCAGCTTCGACCGCCTCCAGCATCATTCCTGGTGTGTCAGAGGTGACAGTGCTTCTTCTCTTGGCTCTGCTCATTCTGATCTTTCTGTCTGTTTGGACTTGGGTCTTTGTCTCCTATGCCCCTGTTTGCTTCTCTTGTTGTGCCGATCGCAAAGATCAAAGTTATGGTGTCTCAACAGGAAGGCCCCAATGGAGTGCTCTTCTGTCGACTCTCCGCATCTCAGGCACTCCATCTTCTACTAAGGTTATCGAGGCATGAGCAACTATGGACGCAGAGATGGGCGCAAAGGAAGTGCGTAGTGGGATTCATCGAGATCTGATTGCTGAATACATTTCTCATAGGCCCAGCTGACGTCTAATCAAGAAGAGCCTGCAGACGTCAAGCCATCGTCGTCTTTGACCATACTCCTCGAATGCAACATACCTGTTATCACTTTGACTCCCCCTCCTACCGAAGAGCACGGGATCTGTGCGAGAGAGGACGCGTGCCTGTCTTCCGATGAAGTATGGTTTCATTTTCTGACTCAGGATCTCCACTGAGAATCTTCATTGCAGGTGCCACAGGCCTCCATCAGCCAAGAAGTGGAATGTTATAGTGTTACGTTCGAAATGATTGGCGTCAACACCGAATCTGAGAGTATTGTTGTCATATCGACCACTTCTCTCCCTCAATGCTCTGCTCCGGATGAGAAATTATCTTCATCAATTGCAGACCTCGCCGTCAAATGCGACTCGACCTCTTTCGAAGATACCAATACCAATGAATGGGGCGTAATTGTCAAGTCAGCTTCCTCACTCTCGTCGTCCATCTCGTGGGACCCAGAGCTTTCCCAATCGATTCAATGTCTTGGTATCTGGATTGAAAAGCAATGCATCACCAAACAGAGAAAGACCTCTACATGTGATGATGAGAAAGCCACGAATACCCATTTCCAGTTGCTCTATGGTGACGATGCTGAGATGAAATGCACACAGGAGGCAGTCGACGCGGAGTACGATCAGCAGCTGCAAGAAGATTTTAATCCACTCCTCACCTTGGGCTACAACACACCACTGCTGTTCAAGCCATGTGTGCATTACTACGATGCATCCAAGTCGCTTTCGGCCAACGACGAGTCAAGCCTGGCTTCATCCGATGACTCCACTTGTTTCTTCTCAGTGGCATCCAGCATGTCTGATGATTTGACATGTCTCTCACCTATTCCCGAGGTCAAAGTGGCTGCTGGAATGCAAGACAAGGTGGCATGGATGTGCCCTGCAGGTGATCCCTGCGGCCCCTTCACTCTACACGCATGTCACGAGTCATGGAAAGTCTAGGCTTCTCACGGCCTTTGTCTATGCCATTCTCCCTCATCGGGCTGTCCACAATGCTTGATCCTGCCTACACATCGCGACTCTATCCTACTTGCAGATATCTTTGTCGATTGCTCTTTGGGCGAGACCTGACTGTTCAACTCTCCATCCATGACCTGCGACGCTTTTGTTCTGCAACATGCTTGGCTGGCTCGTTATTCCCATGACCGATGCTTCTGTCTCTCGTCTCCTCCTACCTCTGACACACTCTGCAATTCTGCATGTCCTGCTCTCATGTTTGACTACTCTTAGCCTAAATCTCGAACGCAACTCAATGCTCACCTCGGCCGCAGAATCGTTGGTCCGATTTCCAGCACATCTATAGCAATACGGCCGGCTACCCTCCACCCTTATGCTCCTGTTGTATCCCTCTTTCAAGTGCTCGCTTCGTACACCATACTATCTTCAACGTTCCACTCCCGCGCACTTGCAGCAACTTGTGACACCACGTGAATACTATCCTGAACTCAACTTGACCGGTCTGTAACCTGTTGTTCAATTTCCATTCAGGCAGTTATCTGCCAGCATACCACCACTAGCGAATTCCTCAACACGCGATACTCTCTATAATTGTCCTCTCTTTATATCGTCGAGCCAGTGCCTCCAGTGTCTTACTTTGATGTGCTAGAAGCGATCATCTCTTGAGTGTTGTTCTGAATCGGCTATTGTCATCTCTGCATATACCGTATCCCAGCCGACATATCATCATCAAAAATGACTTGTCCTTGACCTTGCCTCACTCTTGTGCCCTGCATTCTATTACATATTCGTCGTCTGTCTCTACTTTATGTATTGGCTCGACGATATCTGCGTGACTTTCTCTCTTCTCTACAGGCTGCCCATCACGCGTTGTATATCGGATCATTGCTGAATGAAACCGAGTGACTCAGTTGCGGCATCTTACGAAGTCCACGACTAGAGAAATGGAGCACGCTTGGCACAGAATGTGCTTGAATTCGTCAGTACACATGACGGAGTTATCTCACCATCGTCTGTAACTAGAATTTCTTGCACTATATTATAACGCTCATGAATACTGTATGCATGTTCATCGAATCAAAGTACTAGAGTCGATTGCCACACGAGAACTAAGCTGCACTAACGCAAAGACGGGTAGCGATGAGAACGACCAACCCAGGCTCCTCTCCATCTCGCTTTCGGGAGTTTGGGGGGGGCCATCCTAGGGAGGGTACACAGTGCCACATCCTAGATCGATCATTCACGTGCTCGATCATGATGCGATCACTAATTTTGAATATTCCCCTCCAACTCCCTACAGCGGCTGGGAGAAAACATGTGTAAATAACGGAGGTCGGTGGCTTGCCTTCCCCAATTGGCAGTCAGCATGGCCAGAAAATAGATTATTGATAGGTGCCTGTAATAAATTTCCGGCAACTCTTACATTCATTGATAACAGTGGTACAAGAGTCCTGCTACAGCAAGGCATCAATAAATGGCACTCAACAGCGTGATTCAATGGTGAGGATTTCCATGGCTATCTAGAACAGTGCAGATCATTGAGGGTGACACCATAGTTGAGTCCGGAGCTGTGAGATGTGAGAGGCTCTCTTTTGCATTTTGAACTCCTGGTGTCATGTTTTTGTTTGCAGCATTGAAGTTTTCATAGACAAACCTTACAAGGCATGCCTCTGCCAGTGTGCAGATATCAGAAGCACTCTCCTTTGAGGGTAGATGGGCTGAGCATATTTGCACAATGCAATAGATGTAATATTTGATTCCTGATTAGGTCGGTACAAAATCTAACGCTCGGGGAGCACCAACTACTACTTTGGGGCAGCTTGCATCCAGCCTCCGTTATTTACACATGTTTTCTCCCAGCCGCTGTAGGGAGTTGGAGGGGAATAAGAGTGCGGAGTTTAAGATTGGCTGAGTCTGAGAATTGTGGCTGAAATGTGGCTGAGGTGGCGGGATGAAGCACAATGTCCCACCCATAGGATTGGGCCCACCAAAACTCCCGAAAGCGAGATGGGGAGGAGCCTGGACCAACCTTATGGTGCAGATTCCGGCGTATTTCGACCAGAATTTCCGTTCAGGACTTTAGCCTCTAGTGAAGTTATGCAAGCGTGAAGTTCATTCTGCTAACCTTGGAGGACTGATAGGTTTTGCGGGTAGTTTACCATCAAAGATTCTGGCACGCATCAACAGGCGCCGACTCGTGCGAACATATTCCCTATGTAGGCCAGCCAATCAGGTCTGCTTTTACTGGATTTTCCCGAGTGAATTGCATCCTGTTCAATTAGCCAGATCGTCCTACTTGCAGTACATCGCTATATACCCCCTCTTCACGATGCAGAGCGACGACGTGATCTGGTCCGTCATTAACCAGCAATTCTGCTCGTACAAAGTCAAGTCAGTTATGCCACTACTGGAGCGGCCGTTATTCGTCATCCTCACATTATTCCGCCAGAACCACGACACAGAACTTTTGCCGCAATGAGTACAATGTTACGGGGTTCTGCAACAGACAGAGCTGTCCGCTCGCGAATTCGCGGTATGCGACCGTACGAGAGAAGGAGGGTGCGTACAAACACCATGGACGCTATCGGACGCTCAGATGTTGAAAACCTGGGTACTTCACGTATTCAGGAGTGCTATACCTATATATGAAAACTATTGAACGTGCTCACTCTCCTGCACACATGTGGGAACGTGTCAAGCTCTCAAACAACTACTCAAAAGCCCTGGAGCAAGTGCGTCTCTGTCCTACACCGCGTTCTCGCCTCGCTGCAGTCTAACAGAAACGTGCAGATCGATGCAGAGCTGATCCACTGGCCAAACTTCGTGATCCATAAATGCAAGCAACGAGTTACAAAGATAACGCAATATCTCATCAATATGCGCCGACTGCGCCTACGCCAACAGTGCGGATCTCTCTCTTTTTCTGTCGTCCACCCAGTTCCACGTACTCACTGTTCTCGTCAGACCCAAGCTGATCGGCGTGAAAAAGAAGCTCGACCGACGAGAAGCCGTGCGCGAGCGCAAAGCCCTCTCTGCTGCACGCCTCGAGCGCGCCATCGAGGCCGAGCTGCTCGAGCGTCTGAAGAGCAAGGCGTATGGTGACGCGCCACTGAACGTGAACGAGGAGGTGTGGCGCGCAGTATTGGACCGGGAGAATAAGGGGAAGGAGAAGGCGAAGGCGAGCGAGGATGAGTTGGAAATGATGGATGACGAGACGGATGAGGAGCTGGAGGAGGAGGAGGAAAATGAGTGGGACGAGAGGGAGTTCGTCAGTGACATGAGTGGAGAAGAAGATGAGTTGAGTGACCTGGAGGGTGTTGAAGTGAGTCTCTTTTTGGTCGATTCTTGCCCAGCTCTGGGATTGATCCAGCCCCTTAGTCGGAGGAGGATGAGGGAAGCAGCGAAGAGAGTAGTGAGGACGAAGACGAGGATTCGACGCAAAAGACGGCACTCGGCAAACGGAAAGCAGCACCAAAAGCACAGAAGCCGCAGCGCAAAAAGCCAGAGAAGAAAGCGCGCCGTACGTCGATAAAAATGGTCTTGCTTCCTTTCAGGATTGAACATTTTTCTAGGTGGACCGCGAGTGGAGGTGGAATACGAACAGGAGATGGAAACCGTCCCGCTCACGAAGGAGGCTCTCTCGAGTTGGTAGCCTATTATGCCCGCAAAATGCTACTTGCCTTGCATATGTTTTGTACTACGTTGCATTGCACCCCTTCTATGATGAAACCAGCATCATTGCCTGCGCAAGACAATTAACACGCATAAATTCGTAGTGTAGTAAATGGCCGGGTATATGAGAGCGGCGGTAGGATGAGCACTAAAGTACTGACAGTATACAGACATAATCTTGAGATGAGACATTACAGGATCCATATTGTCCACTGGCTAAATGGTGAGCGGTAGTCGCGTGCTAAGTCTACAAGGACTTCTTCTGTTGCTGACGGCGCATCTCGATATCCTTGCGCGTCATGCGCGTTCTAAGGATAGTGTCCCAATGAACGAAGAAAGGCTGGGCAAAGTTCGACTTTATGCCGATAACCTGCACATAGAACATCAGAGCGCTGCTGCGGGCATTAGGCAACAAACTTGCCTGGTGATGGATGTCGTGGTAGTCTGCATTGTTGCTAGTGATGACCTGCAGCGGATCGAAGGGCATCTTGTAGCCGCAGTGATCGTCCACCGTCTTCAGCGTCGACACAGCGAATAGGACGATGGCCTCCCGCGTCGTCATGCCAGAGATCAGCTCCGCAAGGCCACCGCTCAGCGTGTCCAAAAGCAGCCCCTCTAGCGGGTGATTGTACAGAGCGCCGAAAGCATACGGCACGTACAGTCTATGATGTACAGAGTGGAACTGCTTATACAGCCACGAGTTCATGTGCATCGCGCGGTGGAGGAAGTACTGCCAAGTGTCGATGATGAACCTGCACATGCATGATAAGTTACGGGACGATATAGATGACAACGGTACACACATGCCGAAGATAAATCGGGCAGCGGGGAGTGCCCACCAATACAGGTAGTACAGCAACACCCCTCCGTCCGTGTCAAGCAACCGTCCGCCCGTCTTCTCGCCGACCGTCCAAGTCAGCACACGCGCCAACGAGGGTCCCAACCGCAGCATGTTGCCGACATGGTCGACGCCCGCGCCCGACACTGTCTCCTCCATCCAGAAAATACCAATGATGGTCTGCACGACCTGCTGCAGCAGGACGGCTTTGATGACCTGCCAACGCGTAACCAGGTTCCGCGTTTTGACCTCGGCTGAGTCGTGGATACGGTATTTCTCGAGCCACTTCCAGTCGGAGGTGTCCATCATGTGGAAGGTAAGCGAGGAGAGCCAGTACGCCACGACGGGCACTGCGAGCGCGAAGTAGCGGTCCGGCATCCAGTCAACAAGGTTCGCGCGGGGCGAATAGTAGAAAGGCTGCGTCGTCGAGACGTATTGCATCTGAGAGGGGCTGAGCGTGAACGGCTCCTGAGTGACATTCACTGTGGTATGCAGGTATCCATGCATTTTGGACAGACAAAACTCCTGTACGTTCGAGGGCCAAAGAAGGGGAGGCGCGCAGCAGGGTATGAGCGAAAAATTATATGGTATGCTGAAAAAGCAAGCGTTTATGATACCTGGTGCGATGTTGGCATATGTGGCGTGAGACAACGCGGATCAGCCACTTGCGGCGGTAGTCGAGGCATCGTCTGGGCGTGATTTGTCTTCCATCCGGTGCGGTCCCGAGGCGCGAAGCTATGCAGGCACAGCCGACAAACGCAACGCAGGCGAAGGACAGACATTATATGCAACTGTCTCATAGCCTCGGAAGGCTTTCCAATGCTATCGGCCGCACTGCTGGCCTGTGCGAGCTGCTCAAGGTCGACTTGGACTCGATGCGCACCTTGGCTGCGTCTCACGCTGCACAGTGAGTACGGTGCAAAAGAGTCAGAGCAAGGATGATGAAGAACAGTACAGATTCATGACTGTCGCTACGGAGCTCAATCCAGATCCAGAGCCAGATGAAGCAGAAGAGTAGGGTGGCAAGCAGACGGCAAGGTCAGTGCATGACTATATGCGACAGAACTGATCTCATGTATAACGCGGTGATCTCACTCAATCGAAAAGCGCTGTGCTTGCTATAATATTGGTTTAGCTGTGCGACATGTAGCAGCGGGTGATTAAGCACGCCGCTGACCGGGGATTTTTGGTGATCACAAACGGCGTCCCTGTTGGGCCATCTACAAGTCTGTAGTCCAATTTGTCTCCTTCGAGCAGTGAAGCTCTGTGGAACGTCCCAGTTCCTGTTCTCGATATGTTATCCTTGATTCCTCCCTTTCATGCATACGCTGTGTTACTTGCGACTTCGAGTGTTAATACCTCTTTTTTCTTCCCATTCAGATCACTTCGGCAACGATTATTAGCATGTTGGCAACAGCTTGCGCTGACCGAGGCGTTGCTCCAATGATTTCTGTGTACATATCCTGATCACAATGACAGCATTAAGTTGTGAGTTTCCTCTTGTTACCATTCTTCTGTGTTGCTTGTCAGCCTTATCATTCGTCAGGCCCCCGACCTCTTTGTATGTGTGTGTTTCATACCCCGTCATTGCGAAAGTATTCCGATGCAATTAGATCTCAGGACTATGTGAAACTCCAGCCATACACATCACGTATACGCATATACTTGATTCCCGGCCACCGGCTGAATTAAACCCTGTGTCATGCTGCATTCGATCATGCATTGAAATGATTGCATTGTGGCTGTAGGTGTAATCATCCTTTAGCTTGCAGCCGCGAAAGTTGCCGACTTGTCATAGCGTTTGCTTGTATTTTTTCGCAGACTATTGATTAAGACTGTCTTCGTCTACAAAGACTGGTTTATGAGCCCATTCAAGCACTATTGATCGCCACAACCCGCGAGCTAGCTTCTCTACCCTCTAGCTGCAATGCTTTACAGCAACTTTCCGCTAGAATATCGCATCAAGCCAACTCAACAGCATGGAAAGGCCGCAGTAGCGCTCGAATGGAATTGAAACCATGGGCCTGTTTCTCCTGGGTGCCAAAACTAGGCTGTCTCATGAATCGGGTGCCACGGACATCTCGAAAGCGCGAAAATCTTACTTCTCATGCACTGTCGCAATACTCGGCAAATCACTGGTGAGAATATCACTCACTTGACGATGTTGGCGGTTCGGATGACTCTACCGTGCGTCTGTTCCGAACCCGAGTCACTTGCATTGTAGGTTGGTCTTAAGACCATGTTTCATTCGTCCGTGGTTTCGGATATATCTCTTTACAAGAATGAAAACTTTCTGCGATGGACAGGGATGGCTGCATTCCGCAGAATATGCGAATGGATATTTGGGATGCGTCTGGAGAAGCCTTGTGGCGCGCTACACGTGATCGCGTTGCGGGGCAGGGCGAATTATTTTGCCTCGCATTTCATCTCGGCATCGCAATTCCGAGTCAGTTCAACCACACGTCCATGGGATCTAGGCCTTGTGAATTATTACTAGCGCAACTGGCGCAATATCTGACATCACTGCCGCTGTATACCAACACATGTACACCAGACCTGCTGGTTTTCTGTGCGCAGGTAACACACTCGCTCATAGTGCTCACAACGAGCTCTTTCTGCGGCGAGGCAGTTGTGCCGTCAATCAAGATCCAATTCCGCTCATTTTTATTTCCGGAACGCGATCATGCCATACAATCCAGCGGCAGAGAATGCTCTCGGTACTTTGGGTGCGTAAGCTACTTTACCGCACCCTGAACCTCCTCGCCATTGTGTCTCATGCGAAATTACCGGCTGACTGACAGGTACAATATGTTGGACCCTCCAGCTCGTCCCACAAATATGGAAGAGCTGGCGTGCAAAGTCTACCGAAGGTCTCTCTGAAATTCTCGTGTACGATCTCCAGCACCCGCTGTTTTCCGGCATTCACCTCCCTAAATAACAGCTGATTGTAGTGATTTCTTGGCAGTTTCCTTTGGGGAGTGTCCGGCGTCCCCATGGGTGTCTATGCGATTGTGCAGAACCTCAACATACCGCTGATTCTTCAGCCACAATTATTTGGTATTCTTTGCTTTGCGGCTTGGGCGCAGGTAAGCACCCTGCGATCCTCAACCTCTCTTCGGCGATCCCGCCTATGCCGCCTCCACCTGTGACTGCTAGCGGAAAATGTGGCCTCCACATTGTTGGTGTCCTTTCGGAGGGCTGCTAGGTGCAGACAATAAGCGCATATAGCGGCCTCAACAGCCAGTCGCGCTTTATACACATCATCATTACTAGTGACTGGTGGAACAGCCTATACCCAATCCTGTCGTCTCAATATCAAGCAGTTTCCTAACATCTCCTTCCGCAGTGTCAGTACTACGGTCACAAGCGGTCATTGTCAGCTTGTATCATTATGTACATCACATGCTTGGTGGCTCTTGCTGGCTTCCAAGTAGGCATGGTCTATGCTGTGAGAGTGAGTGTGTGGGTCTTTTCATCGAGCAATCGCTGAGCCACATTCTATTTAGCCTTCTTACGAAAGGGGGAATGACGGTGGTGTCGAATTCTTCGGAATATTAAGCTCCGTGTTGATAGCGATCGCCCTCTTGTACGTCGATACTCTCTTGCTTCATATAAGCATGACTGACGGTTTTGCCGCCTGTAGACCACAATACTGGGAAATTTACCGCCGTCGCGAAGTAGTTGGCATCTCAGTTCCGTTCATGACGATAGACATGCTTGGCGGTGTCTTTAATGACCTTTCACTTGCCTTTAAGTCCGAATTCAATGTCATCGCCGGTGTCACTTATTCTTTGGTCGTCGTGCGTATTCCTGGATCACTTCCGAGCGCACTACGTCGTATTAACCCCTGTGGAACTTATCTCTTACTGTTTTGCGTGCATAGGTCATGGACGGTGTGGTCATCCTCCTCGCACTCATCCTCAACCCGCTGGCAAGGAGACGGCGTAAGCGAGCCGCACTCGCCGAGTGCTCGGAAGTGCCTCCGCTTGCCCAAGAGCAGTCTTCAGATGCTCAAGACGCAGACTCGACCGCCGACGAACGAGAGGCGGGCTCATCGACTCCAAAGCAGCCCGTCAAACTCGAAGATATCCAACACACGACCATAGACTGCGCTGAGATGAGAGAGATTATGCAAGTGGACAGGTGCTAAGATGTATCGTGCAATTCATTCATAGAATACCCCAACCTATAACTCAAATGCGCCCGAGAGGGTAGTGATGACATTACGATAGATTCCGCCCGACTATACTGTATAACTTGTTCGGGTTCTAACCAGACCACCTGAATGTACCATGCTTATATATACGTTCCCGTCAACTAGGTGCAACCAGCACAGCCGGCTGAGCACCATCCATCCCTAGAGTATGGTCGGACAATCCGCTGCGCAACTACACCCTGACACCCCGGCTTGAGCGTCTACTGCTACGGCTCGTGCTGCTGCTCTGACCCTCGTCAAGCGAGTCTCCACTCGTGCTGTCCTCGGTGCGAAGGTGTCCGCCGGCGGACAACTCTTCCTCGTCGAACAGTACCTCACTCATGTCGTCTGCGTCACCGCCCGCGCCCTTCGCGCTGGCGCTGGTCGCGCTAAGGCTCGAGCTCAGATTGGATTTGCCCGGCTTCGTGCGACGTGCACGTCCCGGGCCGGGAGCAGTGACGAAGTCGGCGAAGCTCGTGAGGGATCCTGTCTGGGCGTGTCCTTGGGGATGTGTCAAGCTTGACTGACGGCTGTGCATTTGCTGTGGAGCCCGCACAGGTAGGCGGTAGAAGTCCTCCACATCGTCGTCTTCGTCCTCCGGAAGACCGAAGGCCGTCGAAACAAGGATGGGAGACGGACGAGAACGAGGTAGGGAACGGTAAGAGCCCTTGCGGAGGTGAATGGCGTACGAGTAGAGGAGTGCAGCAAAGTAGATCTTTACAACGCATCGGTGAACTCTCGATTTCAACGAGGAATTCTCGGGTACTATACCTTTACGAGCCAACCAAGAACAATGACAGCAGTTGCCAAGCCTTTCTCTTCATCCCAGATTTCCATAGCCGCCTGCTCTCGCTGCTCCTGCGTCATGTTGTGGTTGACGAGTCCGGCGCCGGCCTTCATCATCTCCTCTTGCGCAGCGGAGTTGGCTTGACGGCGGCCATCATGGGGAGTATACATCCACCACATGACCGCGAAGAAGACGAGCCATGCCGTCGAGATGACGTGGTCAGCAAAGAACAGGTGCGCAAAGTATAGGGTATGCTTCGGATTTTCCTGTCGTGCAAGGAGCATCGTAAGTTCGGCTTTACATTACCGATATGTTGAGCAACAGGACACGAACCCCAGATGTTGATTTGAGCCCCCATACTAGAGCAGCGAGGCCTAATACGGAGTAGATGTATAGACTGAGTTGGGCTGCGGAACCGCCTGCCCCTGTGAAGGCGGCGACGAGGCCATATATGCCTGCGACCTTGTTCAAGACCTATAATCTCAGACGTATGAACACTTCAAGCGCAAAAACAGATATTTCCTGACGTCGTACAGCGAAGAGTAGAACGATGGTAACAGCTGTCTTGAGATCAAGGAACCCAAGGGCGGATGAGAGTGGCCGGAGGCGCCATTCCGGACGCAGTGTAAGTTTCATGGACAGTATTACAGAGAGAATCTGCTGTTGGTCATAAATTGAGACGTCGACGAGCTGTAGCAGAGGTAAAAGGCAAAGAGCGACAGATTATGTGGTGTAGTCGGGAGAGCGCGTCGATGACCGACCCGGAGCTCGCACGGCGGCACGCGCTCAATTTCTCTCACATTTCTCTAAGTCCTCGTCCGCGACCGCCTCCTCGCCCTCCCCCCACCGAGCTCGCCCTTTGATTCAAGTCCATTGAATATAGCAAACCTGTATCCTTATTACTCTTGCCATTGTTTCTCCTCGTTGCCTCTTATCGCTGGTGTCGATGGCTGGCTACTTTTCCAACCACTCGCAGTCCCGCTTCCTCGCCAACTCCAACGCAAATTCGACCACCACTACCCAACAGCCGGTGGCACCAAATCCGCCATCGACGGCAACGCGTCCGCGAGCGCCGTCGTCCAAACACTTCTCTACCTCTGTCCCATCCACTTCTGGCGACGAGAAATCCCTGAGCAGAGATCGGACGGCAACAAATGGGAGTCCGAAGGGTGGCCTTGTAGTACACCCGCTCCGACATACGTATGTTCGTGCCCTCCCCTACTCACGGTTGTGCTAACTGCTAATCTGTATGGAACTAACTCGCCCTCAGCTGGGTGTTCTGGTTCCGCCAGCAGCGTGGCCCTGGCACGAGAACTATAAATTATGAAGAAGGCATCAAGAAGGTTTCTGCGTTTGGCTCGGTACGTATCCGTAACGGTTCAACGCATAGTAACACGCTATACGAGCTCCCTATAGGTTGAGTCCTTCTGGTCACTTTGGACGCATCTCAACCCACCCTCCAGCCTCCTTCCCACCACCGACTACCTCCTCTTCCACTCGGGCATCCGTCGGCCTGTATGGGAGGACCCGCTCAACATCGGAGGCGGCAAGTGGATAATTCGCCTGCGGAAGGGCGTTGCCGACCGTATATGGGAAGACCTCATTCTTGCCATTGTCGGCGACCAGTTCTCTGATTGTGCAGCATCGGGGGATGCGTCTCCTACTGATGGCACACAGGGAGGAGTGAAGGAGAAGGAAAAGACGGAAGAAAATGGTGCTGCTGCGAATGCGGACACCCCTCCCGGAGACTGGCCTGAGATCTGCGGGTGTACTATTAGTGTGAGACAGAACGAGGATATCATTTCTGTATGGAACAAGTCGGACGCGGATGCGCGAGTGAAGGAGAAAGTAAAGTGCGTCTTCTCACTTGCATGTATGTCGCCTTCAAAACTGTCTGACGGAACGTAAAATTCCATGTGACCGGTGTCTGCCGCAATCGTCAACTAGAGAGACCATAAAACGGGCTCTCAACCTTCCTGCGAGCATCGTTATGGAATATAAATCCAATAACGGTGCGTCCGCAAAATATTGTTGGGCATTCAACTGGCTGATGCTCCTCCAACAGATTCTATGCAGGACAAGTCGAGTTTCCGGGTGCCTGCAAGCGTCGACCGTACGCCATTATCATGACAGAAAATGACGGAGCACGTCGATTCTCCACTTGTATAACGTGTGTACGACGATACTGCTATCGTGCCTTGTACGAATCGTCTCCCGCTGCAAAAAGAGTTGGCATGAAAGTTCATTCCTGTCCAAGCAAGGAGTCATACGACGGAAACGACTAGTGAGAACAAACATCTGCATGAGAGCTCGTGTTCCGTGCGTCATATTTACATGAAGGAGATCACAGAGTACGCAACTATGCAACGTTAAAAGTGTCACTATGTTAAGCATAACTGAACAATCCATGCATAAATACAGTCCGCTCGCTTGCAAGCAAAACATTCAAAGAGCGTCGTCGAGCGAACCGCGGGTGAGGTACGTGTCGAGAAACGATGGCAAAGCCATCTCTCTCTCGCCGCCGTCATGCGATTGTCGGGCGCATAGCACAATCACTATCGCCCCTGTCTAGTAAAAATCCAAGATGTCCGAAGCACACTTTACGTCTATGTAATGTCCGTGAAACACTATGCAACAACAGTTGCCCTTGGTGGGGCCGGGTTGGGATGGTAATGCGGGGGCGGATGTCCAGTCACCATCGAGCCACGCCGGTTTATCGGCCATGTTTCTTCAGCCGGCGGCGAGTCCAGCGACGGCGGTGGAGACGGGTACAGGTCTACGGGTGACACAGCCACACCGGGCTTGGTGCCCGTCGACGCAGGCGGCGTGATCTGTATGCGGAGGTTGGGCGCGTTATGAGTCTGGGAGTACGAGAGTGGACGTGCGCGGTGGGTGGGACGCGGTTGTGACTGTGACTGTCGGCGCGGCGGAAGACTCTGGGAAACGGGCGACATTATCGCATGTGCAGCAGCGGTGGGCTGCGCACGCGGACGGCCATACGCTGATGTCATGCCCACGTCCGCGCGCATGTCCACGGCGATCGCAGGCGGGGGCGCTGGCACGTCTCTGAGCTCGGGCCTAGTGCTGTATGGAAGCTCCAGTGCACGAGCGGCAGCCACCCGACGCATGCTTCGCTCGCCCTGCTCGACGTCACTCTTCGCCTGATTATACATGTACAGCCCGGCAAACGTGAGCGCGATGCCGCACGCCTGGACTGGGTGTACGGGCTGCGCGAACCACGCGATGGCGATGCAGATGACGGCGACGCGCTTGATGAGCGACGCGATGCTGTACGTGACGGGCGAGGTTTGGGCCAGCAGTACGAATGCGATGATGTTCTGCGCAAAGTGCACCGTTCCGTTCGCGAGGAAGTTGTACAGCACCGAATGGTGGGAGCCCCCGTCGTGCGCGGGGTGACCAATGTGTGTGGGGTCGCGGATCATGGCCAGCAGTGCCGGAAGGTCAGTATACACCCAGATCGGGACCATCAATACAAACGCCATGCTCGACGAATAAAACAGCAAGTTGAGCTTGTCCAACTTGTGCGAGGAGGCCGCGACCGCACCAGGCCCGGACGGCATAATCTTCTTGAAGAAGATATTCGAGCTCACGAAGACAAGTGCGGAGCCAAATGCACAAAGAAGCCCGATCGCGTTAGACACGGACATGTCGAAGCTGCAGGCGAGCATCACGCCAATGGTGAGGGGGAGTAGGGAAAGGTACGTCTTCGGTGAGTAGCGCACGCGGAAGAGCAGCGCGTAGGCCGCAACGGTGAACAACGGGGACAGAGCCTGAAAACAAGAATTAGAACACTGCAAATACCTGACCATGAAGTAAATCGGCATGACGTCGACTATCTGCTCCCCACTGGCAGGTCCGGCACAATCCTCTGACCTCCAACTCCAGCGTAACAAATTCTGCGCCAGATTGGGCCCAGAAGGTGTGGGGCGCGGACCAGATGATTCCATCAGGCGACCCATATTTGCATATCAAAATGCAATGATCGCATACTATCGCCGCCACGGAATCACAGTCATTGGTCGCAGATAGCCGAGCATTGATGCGGTAACGATTGGAAACACGAGAATGCTCACCTTGATTGTATGGACAGTGCTGACCGGTATCCGCGAAATGGCCATACTGGAGAAAATGTGTCCCCCGACCTGGAAGCAGCCCATCGGCAACGTGCTATTGAAGATAGCTCTCGTAGGGAGTTTGAACTTGGAAAACCGCACGGCGGGGCTCATGAAGAGCAGGCAGTAGCCAGCGACGAAGCCGAACTGCACAAAAGTCAAGGTGATGGGATAGCGGAACTGCGTGAGGATGACCTTGCCCGTATTCGAGGAAAGCGCGGAGGTGGAGTACCATAGCGTGCAGAGGAGCGCGAACCGCACGGTGGCAGGGGACGGTATGATGCCGGGGAGTCCTGACGCTTGGGACAATGTCGGTCGGGCAAGTAGATTAGACCTCATCAAGTCGCCTTGTGCCCAAGACGGGAGTCTGCGCATCAGACTCCTCTTCACGCTCCTGAAACGCATGGCCGCATTGCCGTGCAATGTCTCCGCGCTTTCCCAAGGGTGCTTTTCGCTGTTGCCATGAACGGGCAGTGCCTGATTGGAGCTCGAGACGAGGCTGGCCAGCCAGCTGTTGTTCTTCGCGAGGTGCGGCTTTTCATGAGGAGTCTGAGCTGTCCACGCTGGACCACCAGCGGACCGGTGATACGGTGCGGACGCAGAATTCTCGAGACCTTCCATCGAGTGATGCCGACGATGTTTGCAGTGAAGTTACAGGCAGGCGGCGAAGCAGTCCGATATGCCAGATGTCGGAGAAATCTACAGCAGTCTCATCCAAGAGGGGAGAGTAGGGATACAGCCGCGAGGGGGACGAGTGCTCACTAGGGAAATCTAGGGTAGACCTGAGTATTAAGAGTTCGACCGACGTTCCTGGTCCGCTTAGGGTCCACGTCGGTGGCTGGGAGTTATTTATGCATATTTGTTGCGGATTTAGGAGATTGATGTTATCAATCTGGGGCCCCTTGCAAACGAATGTTGGAAACCGTGAGGCCCTGGGCGAGTCCAGTATGAATTTCACGACGCATTGATTTGAGGTAATAAGCCAGAGCGCGAGGGCGGGGCACCTGCATTCCTTGGGAGAGGGGTGTCCGGGGACGTTTGATGGCGCATGACCTGGGTCACCAGGCAATGGTCTAGCCGGATTCTCGCCAAGGGAGCGGTCAGTTTGACGCACTTCTCCTATGGATAACGATCTATGACTGTCTATATCCTCCACCAATGGCTTTACCTTCGCCGCACGTCGTTTCTCTTTCCCAACCTCCTCGTTCCCCTCTCCCGAGATCTCTCCGCCACCACAATCTCCTGTGCTCTCCACATAGGTTCTCCACATCCATATCCGAGTCCGAACCCAACCTGCGCATATATACCCCACGGGGACCCACCCTCGGGACCTGATTAGCTTGCCTACAATGAGTGCTCCTCCAGACCCCTTCGCCTCGCCCTCCAGCAGCCCGTCGCTCAGCCCGACGCGCTCCCGTCGACTCTCCGCCAGGAGAGGCTCCATGACAGCTGCCGATCCCTGGGGCACCCACACTAGCATCAACGATGACCCAAACAGAGCTACCTCGAGCAGACTCACCATCGTGCGCGTGCCTCCCCCCGCCGAGGAAGACGCCAGCCAGAAGAAACACAGGCGCCATGGCAGCAATACATCCATTGGTTCTACTCCTTCTGGGAGGGGCGAGGGCCAGCGTGTGAGCTTCGCCTTCACGTCCTTCTCGCAGCCATCGCCCAACGCGACTCCGCATGCCAATAGTCCAACCTCGTCTCCCCGCATCCGCCCACAGTCGCCAACCCTTGGTCATCGCTACTCCGGCTCGTTTCTCAATCTGAGCAAGCTGTCTCCGGAGCAGCTCTTGGACATTGCTCATCAGTCGTGCAATCCGCGACCAAGCGTCGGTAGCGGGGGTAGCCCTGTGCCTCCCTCGCCTGTATCCTTCACACCACTCCCGGACAACATCATCCTTCCTTTCATTGACCGACCGAGTGAAGTCACTCAACTCATCACCATTCCTCCCAATTCAAGACTCTTCGCGCTTCTCGCTCAAACGTTCCCTGCTGAAGCGAGGACGCCCACCGGCAAAGAGTCTGCTGATAGTCTCTTGTCCCGGGACCCGAAGCAATGGACCTTCGCGGAGCTTGAGTACTGGATGAAGAATGTCGACCGGGACGTGGCTGATGACGTGTTGTGGGTCGGGAAAGCGCGAACCTGCATCATGGCCAAGAGCGAGTTGATTTGGGAGCGCATTAAAGGTGCTCTAGGCGTACCGCCAGAGCTGGACGTTGATGAAGAGATTCCTTCCATGAATGAGCCAGGATACCTATCCACGCCTTTGACGCCCGAGAGCGAACGGTATCCTGCCGTATTCGAACCCCCCAGCCCGTTGCTTGCTGTCAATCCCGCTCTCTCTCCGAGCCCGGAACGCCAAGACATTGTCATCGAGCCTGTTGTCGCCACCAACGCGAATGTGACCCGCCCGCCGCCTTCGTCCACGCTCGACGTGTCTGCTTCACACGAGTTGCACGACGTCCGGGAGGAAGACGAGGAGGAAGCAGAAGGCGGCAGCTCGAGTGATATCGGCCACAATGAGCAGCGCGAGATACAAGGCTTGAGGATCGTCACCAGTCCTATATCCCTGCGCTCGCAGAACTATGGGCCGAGCCCTAGCGGCTCGCCTGCGTTTGTGCCCCTCGGCAGTCCAGCGTCCCCCAGTCCAATGACTGTTCCGCGCTCGATGAGAGGTGTCTCACAGGACGGGGACACCCCGTATGATGCGCTCCAGGAACGCGGACCTGGACATCCGCTCTTCCCGAGCAGCTTTGCACAGTTGTCCATACAACCTACTTTGCGCAACAAGTCAGTCTTCTGTTTGTTTCATATCAAGCGCATATGCTCACGTGTTATGCTCTTCGTGGCAGCATACATTCTCGAGCACAGAGCATGTGGAACCCGCCAGCTCCGGCGTTCAGCAATCCAAATGTAATCCGCATGGGTGTGCAGCGCGCTGCCAGTAGCAGCGGCCGCCCTTTCAGGCCGGATTGGGCACAAGGATATGACCCGGCACGTCACGAGTACGCTGTTGCGTCGAGCGCGGATAGCGTCAGTGCGATGGATTGAGTAGGATTTTGTCTCGTCATGATTGGGAGGATGGTCTTTGCATGAGTGTGGTTCCCGGTTTGGGTTCTGCGTGATGCCATTTCATGAACATCATGAACATGTTTCTTCATACATAAATAGTTCATAGGCTCTTGTGCGTCATGTCGACATTACGTTTGCGCTTTTCAGCAAATGTCTCTGTGTGCCTTGTATTTATTCGCTGTGAATATCGAAAGTGATGTCGTCGTCGTCGTGCAAGCTCATACTAATGCTTTGAGCGAGAATATTTGGCTTTCGACGGCGTCGAGCTCGTAGATAATCAGAAAGCAGAGGAAAGCCTACGGACGAACGCGCACCGGTCCGGTCACATGCTCAGTGTTACGGCGCTTAGCATACAAGCGCCCGAGCCTGCTTTCGCTACGCCACCGCAACCAAAACGAAACCCGCTCGCCTTCAATTGCCATCTTGCTGCACGACATCACAAGGCTGCATACGGTATTGCTGGCTGTCTTTGCTGCAACTTAGTTTCTCGGGATTCACGCCTTTTATCTGCCTATCTAGCAGTGAATACCCTGCCCGACCCTACGCATCGCAGCTCACCGTAGAACCGTTCACTACACTGCAAGCACCGAACGACATGCCACCTCAGCCAGGCGTATTCTCAATCTCATACAGCACGGCGCAGAAGACGCGGACCTCGGGCGGTGCTGAGATCATAGACATGACCGGCCCTTACCATCACCACCAGCCGACTGCAGGACCGAGCCGGATCCATGGTAGGCTTCTCGCGACAAATCCACCACCACATCGATCAAACCGTGTTCCCTCTGCACAGGTAGTCAAATCGACGACCTGAAGAAAGACAAGCGGAAGAGAGAGATCGCTGGCAGGCTGGGCAAGGAGATGAGTGACCGGCGCGACGAGTGAGTGACACCGATATCCCTCCGCCACACCGCACAGTACAGAAACTCACTGCATGATGCGCTCTCGCGTGCATCCGCTACAGCGCTGGGAGGTACTATACAGAGATGATATCGGACCTGCACAGCACGTCCATTCAGCTCTCCACGCGCCCGGAGACGCTGCCCGCCTACAACCTGCGTCTGTACCCCATATCGCTCGAGCGCTCGGCGCTGCTCGCGTCCTTGGTCGTGCAGGAGAAGCACATGCTGGATATGGTCCAGACCGCGTATGACGACGAGCGGGAGAAAGTCGAGCACGAGTGGCGGAAGGGCAGGGAACGCATTCGGGAGCGCCTTCTGGAGGGTATCGAGGAGCGCCGGCGACGCGCGCGGGAGGAGAAGGATGGCGAGGGGGCAGTTTCAGGCACGTTCTCCACATACTCTCTCAGACACTAATTCCAACAACTGCTTGGGATCGCAGACGTTGGCTTGGACTCACAATCTCGAGCACACAACACGCGGAAGCTACGAAATAAGCTTGGGGGCACCTCCCCTCCACCGACACCTCTGTCCGGAGTGGGTACAAGCTACCTCACAAATGGCACGCTCTCCATCTCCACAGGCGCTGCCAGCTCAGGCCCCCTCCTCAACCCACACTCACTGCACGTCGACGAGCTGCCTTCCCCATTCCCTCTTCCGCTGACCTCCACCCACTCCGCACACAGCGCGGGGTACGGATATGGCAATGGTCCGGGCGCCACTGGCAATGGACGGAGGCGAGCGAAAGGCGGAGGAAGGGAGAACCAGACCGTGGGCGGGCTCGGGAAGAGTCTTACGATCCTGAACACTGTCAAGGAGCAGGAGGTTGAGCAGGACCTGAATGAGATCAGGAGAGGGAACAAGAGGAGGCGGGTCGCTGCCACGACGCTTGGAAGCAAGAATCAGTGATTGACGATCGTGACGTTGGGCATCGGCGGTCAATGTCGCAGCAGTGCATAGAGCATCACAGGATGGACTCTATTTTGCCGGGTTCTTTTTTTGTTGAGTAGAGATCTAACTTAATAATTGATCATGGACGCCAGAAAGATTTACTCACTGACGAGTGTCGCAGGACAACCATAAGTGCGAACAGATTTGCGCAACAATACGCTGAAAGGGACAAGCCCTTGACATGGCTACAGTGAAATACAAAACAAGAAATTATGTACAATCTCCAGCCAAACGTGGTGTAGGGACAAGACCAAGAACGAAGATGTTAAGCAGAGAGCACACGTTGCTCACTGTACAAGAAAAGTGCTTCTGTAATACACGTCATGTTCGCGACTCGTTCTTTCCGCGGACGACCAGACCGCCGTCGAAGGAAGCAACAACCCAGCCGTCTTGCTGCAGAGCGTTCTTGATCGCCGGACCGAGGACGCCCACGCCGTTCACGGAGTGCGTACCGCGGCCAGTGATAACCCGCAGCGGTTTGGCTAACATGGTGGAGGTGGGTAGACGGAACATAACGAAAAACGTATGATAAACGTACAAGGAGAAGATCCGGACTCTCGTAAAATGTCCTTGACGATATAGACGGCTTCGACAATCGTAGTCCCATGGAGATCAACGGTACCTCCATTGACGGACGTCGTTCTGTCATTTCCGCGGTAAATTCTATGCAAATGCGGAAAATGAAGTAGGTTACCGCTTAGCCTGGACTATCTCCATCGCAGCGCCTAACTGTTCCTGTAACGCTTGCTGCTGCAGCTCACGAGCCTGCATGGCGTGGACGCCACGCTCAATAAACATAACCAGACATTGTACGCAGACCATATTACGCACCCTCTCTGCATAGTACAAAGCGATCTCCCCACCGCGCGTCTTCGTATTCCCTTTCTGCCACGCTCTCCCGGCCTCCTTTAATGCTTTCCTTCTGCTCTCCTTCAGCTCTTGCATCCCACGCTGCCTGCTAGCCGATATAAGCTCGCCGACGTCGCCCTTTCCGCCCTTGCCGAGGCCGTTTCCGCCCCCGCGCACCTTGCGCTTGTACGCAGGTATAACCTCGACCAACGGGTGTGGGCCTGACGGCTGCCGCTGAGGCACCGTCTTCCATGCATTCGCCGGTGGCTGCATGATGCGATTGTCATTCTCAGGAGAGCGAGGCCGTATGTGGGGAGGTGGAGGGGCCGGAGGAGGGCCCGACGGAAGGTTTATACGAAGTGTCTTCGCAGGGCCATAAGCGGCAAACGATGGGTGGCGAGGAGATTGCGCTGCGGGCGAATGGTACACGCCCCATGCGAATTCACCAGAGGTGGAATCGCTGTCGAGCTCTCGGATGATCCCGACGATGTCGAGCGCCGTGTCGGGCTGGCCTTGCGTGGCACGGAGAGCTAACTGAGCATCCTCCATCATCTGATCGCGTTCCTCCGTGTTCAGCTCTGCGTGTTCAGGCATGGAGTTGAGAACGTCAAACATGGTGAACAGAGACGTTGTGTCACCAGGCATGAGTTCTAACTCCAGCTCCGAGCTGGACGCGCCGGACGTGGATGCTATCGAACGGAGGGCAGCACGGACAGCCTTCGCCGGGGTAGCATTCTCAGGAGAGTGGAAGACGGACTGGAAGTACGAAGCGGGATGAGTGGGTATCAAGGCGGAGAGGTAGGACGCGACGGACGACAGCTGCGTCCACGGATCGGGTACAGCGGGACGAGGCGACATCGGCGGCGTACGTTCGCGCTGCTTCTGGCGGACATCGATGAGCGTGAACGTTGTTCCGCGTTTCTTGTTCTTCTTTGCTGCTTTCTGAGGCGCTTTCTTTGTCTCAACCGTAAGCCATTGAGCGTTATAGTCCTCTGGAATGTCTAAATCATCTAATCCTTCGAGACCACGTTCTTCGAGCTCTCGCACATATTCAGCTGAGAGTACATGCTCGACAGCTGATTCCATGTCCAGATCATCCGCGTTTCCAAGATCCTTGAGCACCCTCTTGAGTTTGGAGGTCGGGACATCAGGGAAGGCTGCCTGCAGGAACCCGAGCGGGGAAGCGAATGATTGTTGACTAGAGGAGTCAGACGAAGAGCTGGAAGTCGTGGTGCTACCGCCCGGGGATAGGACATCAGGAAAGCTGCTGGCGCCGTCACTGACAGAGTATGGTGATATGTGTGCACTGGAGAGTTGTTCAGATAGAATGTCTTCACCCTGGATTTCCTTCTCCGCTTGGGCAGCTAGTCGCATCAAGATATCCCAAAGAGACTGCATCTGATTTGCTGAGTCGGAAAGATCATCGTAATCCGCAATTATTGCCGCGATGAGCGAGCTGTCTAGCGGAGGAGAGAATTCGGCCTGCAATGGCTTCGATGGGCGGATATTTTTCGCAATGAAAAATTGTGGCGCACCTGAAGGATGTCGAGAGTGGTGGATTGCGGCAGCGAGCCCATCGTTATCATCGGATAGATGTTCGTGAAAGAAAAAAGCGTATGATCACAAGAATCTGGGGAGAGGGGACAAACCACGAGCGGCCAGAGGTAAGGTAGTTGTGCGCTGCACTGCAACGTGCGAGCCACCAGCCGCCGCCTAAAACGGCAATGCCGTCAATCACGAAGTGCTTCAAGTCGTGACCCGCACCACCTGTGGCTGCTCGACAACTACCTATTCCTCAGACGTTACGATGGTCGTAAAGGACGAGTCCGACGACGACAATCATGACGAAAGCTACAGTAATGAGCAAAATGTGGGCTGATCTGCGACCTTCGAGCTAGTCCGACTCTGCTGAGCTTACTTTCAAACAAGAAACGGAAAAGAAGAAGAACCGTTGCGAAAAGACATTCGATGTCGGAAGTCACGAAGCCCTTACTCGACATGTCTCCTTTATTCGAGTCCCTTTATGAGCGGATGGACGCGTTAAATGAACAGGGATCATTCGAGGCTATTATCGAATCCTCGATCCCGGAGTATCTACGAGCACAGCGCGTCCTACAGGATCACTTTGCAGACCGGACCATCTCAGTGGGCAATTTCTCAACCAATATAGTCATGGAGAAATACTGAGCCATTTGCAGGGGCGGCTTATTATACCGCTTAGTCGCGCTGAGATGAGAGATCATATGAAGATGGTCTCAATACACCCTCAATCCTATATATTCACACTGCTATCTCGGAAAATGAGCTCACAGCCTGTATGTATCTCGCTTCCCAGGTCCGGATAGAGTTGATTGACCGATACACAGCCTTCCCTCCGCGCTCGTATATTAGAGCCTCCGTCGATGACGCCAAGCGGATGTACCGTCACACCGTTGCCTCCACTGCGATCAGCACCGGCTATCAATCCTCAAGTCCTCGATGCACTGTATGTAATCAAGACTACTCCATATGAGCGATCGTTCCTTTCTCGGATCAAGGGATTCCAGCCGTCCCTCGCACCTGGCGCGATCGCAGTCGATTGGGAGACAAGAAGTCCATGGATGGAGCTCATGAACGATATTCGCGAACATTACTCCTTGATGCAGTACGTGCCGCTGTGACTGGTGAAAATGATGTTTGCTTGACTAACTTGCATTGCAGTCCAGATCGTGATCAGCCAAACGAGACGATTGCACCTATTGAATATGTCTCCTTGCGTGCAAGCCACCTTAGACAGGTCCACGATCTCCTGCGGCGCACCTTTTGGGAGGGTATCGATGGTACCATTCTCCTTATGTGCAACTCCTCGCGAAACTGAACTTTATCTTAAGTTAGTGACTCCATTGATTACTCGCCAGAAAAATGCACAGTTATCGCGACGTACAAGCAGCTCGTCGTCGGCGTGGCAATAATGAGCTCACCTCAGGAGATTTACATCACATATCTTGCCGTCCGTTCAGGTTGGGAAAACAGCCAGATTGCCACGTACGCAGTTTCAGCATCGAGATCATATAAATATAGGACTAGTCTAATGGTCGTGCGCTGTCCAGATCAATGCTATATCATCTAATTACGCTAAATCCCAATAGAGATATCACTCTACATGTGTCCATCAACAACCCCGCTATGGTGAGTGAACTTCATAAGTCATTTCGCGATGTACCGTAAGTCTCATCCTTCCTCCTAGCTCTTGTACAACCAATTCGGTTTCAAGGCTGAGCAGTTCATCGTCGGATTCTACGAGGACTATCTTGATCCGCTGTCACGGGCCTCGAAGAATGCATTCCGCCTGCGCTTACGACGATGGGGATGATTCGAGTCATCTTCTAGACCAGTCCTCGCCTTCTTGATTTTACGGGTTTGGCTTGATTCTGCAGACGTCGGTGTGGCAGTTCCAGATGGCGAGCCATCATCGGACTGGCTTTCGTACTGTCGCGCTATCTCTTCGACCCATTTGCCGCCTTCAGCCCCTTGGAATAACCAGACGTGACTGCGACCACGTCAGTATAACGAATGGAACGACTAAAGGAAGCCGGACTCATACCTATCCCCGACACGTTGCGGCTCAGATCGTTCAACTTCTCGCGCGGATCTCTTTGCAGTCTTGCCTTCGAGTACAGAAGGGATCGCACGCCTTGTCGGCACTGCCGGCAAGTCCCACTCGAGCTTGCGAGCCAGATGCATTACGATGTCGTCTGCGTTTCCGAGGAGAACGATCTAGGAGAGGCGTTGGCGTTGGAAAGACAACTGTAATACCGCGCTCACGTCTGGGTTAATGTGTTTAATGGGAGTCTTGTTGATGAGGATCTGGAGAGATATTTGTTACAATTTTCGAAGATGGCTCAAAAGATTGGTTTGTCTGACCTGGGGAACCGAATGGGGCAGATGGGCTTGGCAAAACATGAGAAATAGGCGACACATCGCATAGATTATACCTGTTCTTACCTATAATGTCTGAAACAGGGGATACCTTGAGGGAGGTACCGATAATGATCAGCAAGTCGATCTCTTGCCGGTCCTCCAATAGCGCCCGGTCAAACTCGTCGCTGAGCTTCTCGCCAAAGAAAGTGATATCCGGCTGGAAGCAGCACTGTCGTAAGGCACGTTTCAACAGCAGGGAATCACGTCATACCTTCATGATGCCTGGAGGATACGGCGGCGTGCCGGGCTCTTCATCGTCGCTATCCCATTCCATGCCACGCCGTTTTTTCGCTTTCTTCTTAGGACTCGCTTTGGCCTGAGCGACAGCTGACGTGGAAATGCACCTCTTGCATAACGGGACTTCCTGGTTTAGGATATCTTCTTCGATGTCTGTGCCGGGTACCTTTATCTTGCAGTTGAGACAAGATGCTGTGGCAAAGGACCCATGACACTGCAAAACGCGCTTTACGCCCGCCAGCGTCTCTAAGGTATCGATGTTCTGCGTGTAGTTCTGTAAATCACAGCGTGATTGCGAATCAGAACAACCCGAGGTGGTTACGGAAGTGGTCATACTCGTAAGAGCTGGCAATAGACTTGAGTTAGTCTGTGTCATGTCGCATTGCAGGAGAATGAGCCACCTTTCCCTTGTCTTCTATTGCTTTGATGAAGCGATGACATGGAGAGGGTATAAAGTTTGACGGGTATATTTTACTGTGATACGTTCAGCGACAGCTCAGTGACAAGCGCGAACCGACGTTACCTAGCGAAGGAGCTGGATGAAAGTTCGAATGATCAGTGAGCTTGAACGTACTCTCAGGAACAAGCACTGACTAGAATACTGAAGAGACTAGTTAGTTCATTGCAGAGTTCGCGGCTTTTTAGAAGCTCACCAGCCGGATTTTCCCGAAAATAGTGTATATCGAACCTATAGCCGAATCAGCACCATTGACACTGCAAGATTGAAGAACAACACACATCTGTTGAGGATCATCGAGATCATACTCCCCACTTTCCTGCAGTGAGGCATACAACCCATTACGAGAACGGAAGTCGGGAATGCCACAAGATACACCTGCCACAGCGTCAGATGCACATGAAACTAGTGATACGGGATATAGCTTACTGATTCCTGCACCAGTCAGGACCAGGATGCGCTTTCGCTTCCGAATGAGGCTAACCGCGTCGTCGATTGTATTATATTCCGGCAGTTTCTCTCTAGATTGTAATCTGCAAAATCCCATTCGGCAGAGCCGGCAGATACGTTAGCCGGTTGGATATGCGTACGAGTGATTTGATCGGCACTGACTCTCGAGAAAGGGCTACCCGCAGAAAGTATAACAAGGTCCTCAAGGGCTTACACCTGAGCTCCGGGCACTGTGAGAGTCCATATATCAGTAGCGATATCGCGGCAGAAGAGTAAAATCTGACCAGATATACGCCGAACGCATATAGCAACTTCGGAATAGGAATGTCTCTCTTCACTACGTACTCCTGTATGAAGGATGCAATGCCTTTTCAAACACGTCAGCTTTCGTGAGAGCAAGCGATGAAGTTGCTGAGCTGTTCACCGAATTCCTTGAGCCACTTTGTCATTTCCTTGATTTCCTGCTTTGACCACGAGGACTGAGCTGTTTAATGTCGTCGATCAGCACATTCATTCAGTCATGGGCATTTAGAAAGGAACACAGCCTCTCTGTCGGAGGCATTATGTACACACGGGATTCGCCTGCCTCCCAGGTAAATCCCCGATACTCACCCTCTCGCAGCAGAGCATCCCACTCTGACATGCCTTCATCGTCTTCAGTGTCATCGCCATCAAAGTATGCGGACCCCATGTCCACTTCGTCATTGTCTTCGCTTGTTTGTTCTCCATGGGCGTCGCTAGCAAAACTTTCGAGAAGGTCTTCGATCACCTCCGGATCCGCTTCGACAACTTCTGCCGCGTCAAGGAACGCCTGCACCTGTAATGCATATATACTACTGATGTTTCGTTTACGTGGCTCTCGTGGCTCGTTACGAATTGATGAGGAAGCGCCATTGACTTGCTGGGAAGAAGAACTTGTGGGTGGGTAGTGGTCCATGCGATGTGTCTGTCTGTAAACAATATAAAAGGCGATCACGAGACTTGAGATCACTTTTCTGTTCTCTCTTTTAGACACGGCAGACATGATGCGATTTAAAAATGTGGAAAATAGTGTGGGAATGTCGGCTGATGTCTTACACTTGTGATAAGTGATAAAGGTTTGCCAATGTAGCATTTAAACGGCAAATAGCGCACATTTGCAGCCAAAGGGAAACATTTCGACATGAAATGCCATGGTTGCAAATATTTGTCGCATGTGTAAGAAATCAGTCGACATTCACACACAATTTCCCACATTGATAAATCGCATCATGTCTGCCGTGAGAGAAAGCCAATAGCACAGCTCGATCGATCGAAAGCGTTCGCTATGTTGAATTCACAGTGGGTCTACAGCGACTGCTTCTCGAAAACATACATGCACGTCAATCATCAGACAAGTATTGGTACAGGGGAGCTCATGCCGTACGAGGACGGAAGCATTTGCCATTTGCAACAACCTGGACTATTCACAAGGAGAAAGAAGTGCTAGGTGACCACAGAGCAACTCAATACACGATATCATTACTTGGAAAACTAACCAGCAGTTCAGTCCCTGCTTAATCAGTGCACACTACTTCCTGCCTTCAGAAGCAATTCGTCCTCGTCTTCTCCAGCGATGGTTCGAAGAGGCGAATTGTCGATTCTCATCCGGATCGTGGGCCAGCCCTCGTGGTGACGCTTGTGCGTGCGCAACGGAGAGTTCGCCTTTGGCTTCTCCCCTTGTACCTGCACGTCCGTAGCACGCGAGGCGGGCCCAGCGAGGGTAACGGTACCGGAACGCGTCCTCCGGGTGCGCGTACCGCCTTGAGTCTTACCGCTGCCATTGGTTTGAGCAGAACTACCCGTATTCGCAATGTCGTCTGCTGCACTGGGGAGCAGAGTTGGACGTATGAAGTCTGACGCCCGGATTGTGTCTCCGCGCTTGCGTCTATGAGTTTGTTCCTTGCTGCGGGTGGTCTTGGACATGGCCAAGGGCGACGGTACGTGTAAACCAGTGTGTCTAGCCGCGTTGACGCCCAACGCGTAACTCGCATGCGGCATGCTACCTTGACGCACGGCGACTGTCTTCTGGCCTTCTGTCGTGATCAGCGCATATAGTCACGTAAGCGACGCAACTCGTAAGTATATGCGCGAAAAAGCAGCTGCGGGCCAGATATATGCGCACCATCTAGCTCTAGCCCGGAGAATAGGTTTCTGAGTTCATCTCGAGAACGGTCGAAGTTCTCCTCATTCGTGAGTGAGCGATCACCCGTCAGATGTTGCGACAAAGGCAGAGACGGCTCTAACGGTAACGTTGATGATGCGTGAGGAGCAGTATCTCCAGACGCGGCAGATTTATGAGGAGTGATGGGAGAGAAGGCCGATTCAAGGTTCAGACCAGAGAATGCAGCAGTAAGACGAGAAGTGCCGTGCGCCTCCGCATGATCCACGAACTTGTCAGGCAGCTTCTCGTCACGTACACCAAGAACTGAAGCAGAGCGTTTGTCCTCGCGTACAGAAGCAGAGAAGTCCAGCACCGTAGAGAAAAGGCCATTTGTCGTGGGATGGTTGATGGTGCGACGACGTCTCCGAGGTTGCGGCGACCCTCCGACAATGGGCGCATTCGGAGAGCTGGGACGAGACTCGTCGTGCATATTCGCATCTTTCCCGGTCTTCCAATCCCGTTCGAGCTCCGCATCCGAATCGTTCCCTTGCATACGCACAGGATCGGTCGTTGCGCGTCGCCTGCGTGGCGGTGTGGAGATCTGGATTGGAGCATCCAAGAAGAACGACGGATGCTCAGCTTCCACAGCGGAATGCATGGTCTGTTCGAATTGTTTACTATGGACGAGCCACGTCATGGACTCCGGATTACGGGTAGTAGGCATTGCTGGTATTGATCCTGTGCGAATATGTGCAGCAGAAGCCTGCTTGTGTCTACTGCTCGAGGCTGTCGAGAACGCTTCGTTGGAATTTGTCGACATGGTCGTCGTCATAGTGGCATTGACATCAGTGATTGGCTTCTGCTCTTGTCGGAGTGTCCATGGATCTAATGCAGTGGAAAGAGTCCGTGACTTGCTGTGGAATGGCGGGCGTTGCGCTTTGCCTTGGACTTGTTTCCTACTTTGATGCATGGGAGAAGCAGGGCGAGAGTTAGGACGACTATGGAAAGGGGATGCCAGACGATGCTTATTCTCTTTAAGAATTCGAGAACTAGTATGGGAGAGCATGCTTTTGACAACAGGAAGAGGAGAGAATTCCGGCTCAGCGGGAAAAATCTTAGCTGTAGACGACGGCTGCATGGGCTTTTCAGAGGGAAGAACTGGTCTTGGAGTACAGTATTGCATCGTTTCCTCAGGGACAAAGAAACACGGAGGACAGTCAGACGGTTTGTGATCGAGTGGTCCAACCTGCGGCGATCGCTTGGTTCTCTTATTCTGTTGAGACGTTCCGTCATCTTCACCGCCGTCCGCTGAGGCAGTAGTTTGTCGTGACCGTTTTTGCATTCTCCTGGTCATCTCTAAGAGGCTCATATTCTCGGTTCCTGGAGGGACTGGTTCGAGTGGAGATGATGACCTAGCATCGTCGCGACAAGCAGCTTTGGCACGAGAGCGTCGATGAGCATATGTCCTCAAGGGCTTGCAGGTTCTGTTTTCCATGTTCTCCAGAGCTAGAACTTCACAAAGACCCCACTTTTGATTCACACGTTGAGCAGCTATAGTATGACAGAAGTTGAATTCCAGTATGCGACTAGGACTTGCAGATCGAGTGTTGAGGATTGTCCAGGTCAGAATACTATACAGCACTTGGGAAAGTACGTATCGTCTTCTTAAGCATGAGTGATCGCGAGGCACGCTGAGAACAAAGTCAAAAGTGAGGAGCAGCGCAAAGCAGAGACAAGACAAGGATGCATATATGCACTGATCAAGCTGGCCCGAGCGAAGCGCTGGAGACAAGGTCACGACGTGACGGGTTGTGACAGAACGTGCTCTGCGTAGCTCACGTGATGTTGTTCCACGTCAGTGGCGCGGGTTGTTCATGTGATTGATCTCAACAGGCCTTGAATAGCGACTACCATCCGTCGTGAATGTTGCTTCTCTCCTCGCCCGTATTTTCGCCGTTTTTGCTCTCTTTATCTTGAATTCTCTCTCTACAATCACACGCGAGCAGACATGGTGGTCCCCAGACGCGCACCAGTCCCTCCACCGGCTGGCTCTCGCGCCAACTCGGCCCAGCAGGTCCAACGCGTCAAGGCAAAGTCGGTGGCTCCGACTGCCATGCCAAGCACTCATAGCCCTCTTGTCAATGGTGATACAACAGAGAGCGACGTGCAAAATTCCTATGCTTCTGTCGGAGGAGGACATGACTCGGTGAGTGTCGCTCCTAGCATGCTCTGGTTCATCGGCACGAGGCACGGCACGTTCTGCAAAGCAGGGGGTGTGGATGTCTGCTGAGTTTGATTGTATGTCCCCCTAGTTGGAAACGGTTGATGGAGCTAAGGTGGAACCTTCGGGGATATTGTGAAGGCGTGATTGACACAATCCCCATGGCGAGCAATCTTTCCACAGTCCCCTATCTAAAGCTGCTATACCGGGACGTTGGCGGAAATTCATGTGCTCTTTAATGCGAAGGACGATGTCGAAATCAGTGAAGTCGGCATTGCTGGACCACCTCACACGACTTTCTATGAGAGCGTATTGTTCGTGTGCTCACGGTAGCGAGCTTTCTCTCCGATGAGAATTTTGGTGTGCTAGGCAATGACTGCATTGTCCGGGCGCAGACGACCTCCCTGCCCACTAAGGACCATTTGCCTCACCGAATGGTGATCGCAGACCGCTGCCTCAGCGTATCATACACCTTTGGTTGGAGCTTTGGTTGCATGGCTTCAATTCAATTCATCCTATTTAAAGCGTCGCTATCGCAAACACTCATCACATGGGTTGGCGAGCGAGTGCCGTCTTGTAATGCCGTTATATGTGCATAGTTCTAATATTTTATTAGCAGAGCGATATGTCGATGAATAGAAGTCCAAAGTCAAAATCAAAACTCAAGTCTAAGAAAGGCCGTAAGGTCGTGCTCTAATTTTACGTGATGTGTTACTGTTTGGCTCATACGGTCATCGATCAGAAATCCTCCAAGAAGGGAACCGGCGTTATCGAATTTCTGTCTCGCATTTTCCTGCTCTGGTTCGTTATCTACACAGTGTCAGTATGTCCGGAAGATGTCCGCCACGAATCTGCTATCTGCCGCGGCCTCGCAGAGTACCGTCGGCTAGTCATTGAACCCTATATACTGCCTCCTATCCAAATGGCGCTCTCCCATCCTTCAGTCGCCCCGTACGTGGAAAAGGTCAAACCGGTCACGGACCGCGCTGTCAACATCACGAAGCCAATCGCACTCCGCGCTCTGCGTGAATGGAACGCGCGGGTAGTGCCGCAGTGGAACAAACATGTCGTTCCGCAATGGAACAAGCGCGTGGTGCCGCTTTGGTTTCGATATGCCGTTCCGCAACTGCTTCGGATCGACGCGCACTTCGCGCCATATCGTATGCGCATCATCCAGGAATATCAGCGTCATGTCGCACCGGTCGTACGGCAGGTGAGTCCCTATGTCCAGAGGGCGGTTTTCGCCGTGCGCTGGGGGCAACAAAAGGCTCGCCCATACGTTGTCCTGGCGGCGCACAAAACATATGACGCATATCAGCGTGTCATGCCCTATGCACGGCCGCTGTGGGAGAAGACTAAGCTGCTTACAGCTAAGCTGGTTGCTGTGCTGGCGGAGAAGAGACGACAGTTCGTTGACCCGCATGTGCAGAGGATCTGGGAACAGGTGAAGGAGCTTAGCAGCGGTAAACCAAGAGTGCCTACCACCACGGACATGCACGATTCCATTACTTCGCGGGTGTCCCAGGCCGCCTCAGGCGCAACATCCATCGCCTCCTCACTGATGTCTGCGTCGACGCCACACACGTCCGTCGCTTCCGACAACGTGGATGCAACATCTCTTCCGGTGATACCGGATGTATTTGCGGAGTCGAAAATACTGCCATCCTCGATTGAGTCTATATCTCCTACGTCGTTCTCCGTAGATGCTGCCGAAAAAGTCGCTTCTACGGCGTCGGTCGCTTCCAATTTCGTCGACGCCACAGCTTCCTCGATCAAATCAGCGTCCGCTCCGAGCGCTTCGGTATCGTCAGGGATGTCCTTTCTAAGCGATACCGCGTCGCATGCTTCATCCGCAGCCTCAGCAAGTTCGGAGAAATTGGCCTCGTCAGCTTCATCTGTGAAAGGAGCAGCCTCTAAATCTCCGTTACCTTCCTCAGTAGTCAAGCATGCCTCTGCAGTCATCTCCTCCGGCATCGATCAAGCCTCATCTTTGGTGTCCAGCGTGGCTGAAACAGCCACGTCTTCTGGTGTCTCGTCAATTGCATCCGCTATCCCATCCCATGCTATTGACGCGGACATTGACCTGGAAGCTTTCTATGCGGAACTCGGCCTAGATGACATTATACCCAGTGCAGCCACCTCCTCCTCTGTTCCTCCTTCATCCCAGAAGGCTGAAACTGAAGAAGAACAGGAAGAACGCGCGCGGGTGCGAGCTATTCAAACGGCTGAGAAGCGTGCGGAGTTAATGGCGCGTCACGCTAGATGGGAGGATCAACTAGCCGCGGAGATCGAGTCCAGCAAAAAGGCGCTCCGCAAGGCCTTGGTTGCGTCAAGGAAGACGGCGGCAGCTGAATTAAGGGAGTCTGCTGAAATCCAGGATGAGATAGAGTCCCTTGTGGAGGAAGCCGACAAGTTCTTGCGTGGAGCAGAGAAATATTTACAGACACTCAGCACTGAAGGCCGGACGGATGAGGAGAAGCGCATAATGTGGGGTCGCGTCGTCGACAAAGTGGACCAGAAGTTTGTTGAGCGGCTTGGTGAAACGGAAGCCGTAGTGAATGGATGGTATGCTCCGGTATTGGACAAAGAACTGGCGGAGGTAAGCTCCCGCTCCTTGATCCTTTTGTCGCTTCAAACTCGATGTTGAAGCGTCGGATATCCGTAGGTGCGGAAGATCGCGGATGCAGTTAGGGACATAGCAGACAGGGCGCAGACTGACATCGGGATGGATTACGCCTATCTGGATGACGTGACGTACAATGATTGGCAGCGATACCATGATTTGCTCAGGAGTGAGTGCACATTCCCGTTTGGCGATTCTTCCATCTGTATATTCTCTCGCTCGTGTATCTGTTTTTGTTTCATGGCTGGGGCAATGTTAAGTTACTGACATAATCTGCTACCTGCACAGCAAGCGACAACTTCACGGCGCAAGCAAATGCAATTCAAGATGGTTCAGATCCTTCATCGCCCGTTAACCCGTTATTGAAAGAGATTGAGAATCTCCAATCCGAGGTACAAGATGTTGTCGTGGGCTTCGAGACGCGCCTCCGTCGTATTAAGCGCACTGGTGAACGCGCCTTGGGCGAAGGCGTCAAGCCCGAGGACAGCGTGCCAGAAGATGAAGAGGACGAGACCATCTCGATACTCCCAATTGAGGACGACGAAAAAGTTCAAACTCCCGCGGACATTAACATACCACCCGTTGTCATCGGACGGAGCAAGGAGGAGGTTATGGATGCTCTCAGTCGCGCGGCTGCAGCAGAAGAAGCGGCCATTTCGTCGCTCCAGGCAACGGAGCAGACCTCGGACGTTGAGGAGGTCGTGCACAGCCTAACTGAAGAGGAAAATGCAAGTCAGGGCGTTCCGACTGCGGTCCCATCAACCGCTCATGTAGAGCTCTGAGTTATCTCCGTTCATCATTCATGGCATGCGCTTTTGTCAGTCTCAACCATCCCTCCCCCGATATGTCATGGCCTATTTTTTCTGCCAAACTTACTCCTTTTCATTCTCACGCACAACTGCCGCGTGCATTCTGGCCGCGTATCCTGGATGCAACGGAGGTCTTGCCTAATGTGCAGTTCTAGTTATATTGTTCGTTTCAGCTTTGACGGGATTATGAAACATCGCTAACAATGTATTTTATGACAAATACAAGCTTCCAGATTTGGATCGTTTGCTAGATTGCTGTTGCATTCTTTGTAGTGCTACAGGTAATTATCAAACGTGTGTTGACATGCGCCGTACGCAAAGAACGAATACTACCGATAGCGCTTGGTTATGTCCATATGCATGACGCCTACATTGGACCCTGTACCAGCTAGTTGCTGCCGTTCAACATTATCAACTTCTGGCCCCAGATCATATGTATGTGACCATGGCCCTCATTCGCTGTGTGCACGGCGCGCAGAGGTCGAATAAGTGTCGAACTTTCCCAAACTCCGGACATGAGTGCACACCTACGCCCTGCAGAGTGCCTTAGATTGACTACTGTGAGAAAGCCTTGTGGAGGGCTCCGCGGAGAAAGAAGGACTAGTATCCCGTTAGTTCCGCGGACCTGTCAAACTTCAACCCCGTTTGATTGAGTTGGTTCATCGTTCATATCGTAGCCTTTTTAATATCTCAACAGCGTGTGCTCTGACATGGAAGGCCCTTCGAGCTATGCCGGCATCTAGGACGGCAGACGGCGTATTGTTGTAAGAGTGATATGACGACGCATTACATTTAGGATATCGATCCCATGCGGCAGCACAAGACAACGCAGCGATGGGTGGGCCTACTCTTCCTCGCTCTGTCTCCAGCGTAAGTTCTTCTCGTAAAAGTCGAGCAACTAGCGACGGCACTTCTATCAGACTTCATCCCGCCCATTTATGAGAGAGACGTACTTTGCGTGGCATCTTCTCTTTACAAATCTCGGTGTCGACCCGCGCCCGGCCTTTTCCGTTCCTACTGTCCAGTGAACAAAGATTTGAGAATGCTTCATCGGAGGTCACGCAAGAGACCCGAGACTCACACTGTGAAGTAAACCAGGAGCTGGCCGTCCTCGGTGCGCTCGACGGTGTCGATAGAATCCACAAGATGCTCCCAGGTAGCCTGCCTCATGTAAGGTTTCATATCGCGGAATTCTTCTTCATCCAGGCTAACCTCCATCGGCTCTGGCGTGGCCAAACCCTTTGCACTCTTGGTCGCGGTCTTGCGCGGCTTCTTCTTCTCTCGAGGCTCCATATCGATATCCTCATCCTCACGCTGCTTGGTGTCTTTGGCCGTAGATGGCCGACCTCGCTTCTTCTGTGAGACTTGTTCCGCTTCGGATTCATCAGCCGCCTTTTTCGATACAGAAGGCTTGGCTCCAGAGGTTTTGCGCTCGCTCTTCTTCTCCTTCTTGTGTTTCTGCCAAAATTCGTCAATGAGGTTTTGAGCATTCCTGCATGCGCAAGCATCAGTATCTAATATGTTCGAATCAGACACTACACGTTACCCTGCATCGTCCTCATTCACCCAGCTGTTGTGCTCGCTCGAATAACCCTTCCATTTCACTAGATAGCCCAGTTTGCCCTGCGAACACGACAAATTTAGTGATATCGCGTTACTGGCGCCCAGTTGAACTCACTCCAGGGAAAGTGCCACGCTTCGCGTCCAGAATCTGCTCAATTTCGTACTCCTCTTCGTCCTCGTCCTCGTCATCTCCTTCCTCGGGTTCATTGACTGGCGACTTGGCCTCGACCGACTTCGCAGGAGTTACGGATGCAGTGCTTTTCCTGGCAGGGCGTTCGACCTCCCTCTCGCTCTCGCTCTCAGAGGCATCTGCAGGCAACCTCGGCATCTTCGCACGCGTAAAACGAGTGAGGCAAGATACGATGCGTAGGATGAAGTGGCGATGATGAGTGTTGGTTGACAAACGGCGTGCGAACTTCGTACGCGGGACGCGTCGCCTGATATGGATCCACGACGCCGGCCACGCCGCCGTAGCACACCTCAATTGAAGGACAATTCATTGCAATAGAATAGTACACACGTTGCGTTCGCGAGTCAAAATGATAAAATACTACAGAATATCTGATCTAGAACAGCAGGTAAAATACGATGGGTGACAAGATGGGAAGGCATCCACAAGGAAACTGTCCTATGTTGTTCACTCTCGCCGACGAGCAGGACTCGCACTGCGTCCACGTCCCTCTCTGCCCCTGCCTTTTTTTGGACCCGACGGTGGAGGTCTGACGAAAGCGTAATCACATTGCAGCGTCTGTTCCAACAGAGTGGTGCCAGAAGCGCCATCAATGGCGGCCTGTGCTTCCGCCATTGTCTCGTATTCCACCAAGGCGTAACCCTACACGATGCAAAAGACGGTCAGCGTCCAATGGAAGTATGATAAGACTTTGGGACGCACCTTAACGTAACCTGTTCTCCTGTCCAAGTTGAGATGAAGATTTTTGATCTCCCCATACTCGGCGAACTTGTCCATTACGTCTTCCTCGGTCGCTTCCTCGTGTACGTTGGTGACTAGTACGATCCATCCTTCCACGGCTGAGCAACGGAGAACAATTGGAGCGGGTCTCGCTTGCAGGAAAATAGACAGTCACTCACATCGCGCCGCTCTTGTCTCCGACGCCTGGGAAGACTCCACTCTGTCAAATGTTTGCTCAGAGGTGATTGCGCTCTCATTCGTTCCTGTCAGCATTAGCCTCTCCAGTCAGCTCCGTGCATACCCTGCATAATGTCAAAACTCACCGGAAGCACTCTGAAAGCCTCTCCCCTTGCGTCTCACAACGCCCTCATTTCCGCCTGGCACGGAGTCAACACTCCATTAGGTTTCATTCCGCAGCCTCGGAAAAAAAACGCGCACCCTCATCGATATTCATCTCATCGTCAGACATGGTGCTGCAGGAGAATGTCCAAAACAGTGGCACTTGAAACAGCTGGAGTTAATGGCGCCGGCCAAGGTTTCCCATGGCCGAGTTACGGCGGTGTCTCACGTGATGAATATACACCTGGCCAAGCGCCGGGAGCATTGTCATTGCTTGCAGTCTCAATCAGTCAATCAATCAACCAGTTGAGAACATTAATTGATATGATTTTCCATGGCGTTTGTTTTTGACCCACTGCGGTGCGTCCTTCGTTGAACGTCCGCAGGCTGCGCACTCTTGGCTTCTTGTCTTCTCCCTGTCGCAGGATACCGCCTTGACTTGACTGCGAACCTACGACGGTTCGAAGGGCGTCCACCTAAGGCTCGCTTTTCTGCTCTCATACTTAGGGCAGCGCACATGCAGCTCGACTACTAAATGCAACATACGTGATACCGATGATGGAAACGCCCGCATGCTCGAATGAATCCCGGAGACGGCGCTGGTATTCGATCTGTTCCATCGCTCATCGCAACGACCTCCTGCGCAAAAATGGTAAGCAACTAGCCCGCGCTCCGAGCATCATGATCAGATCAAGACATTAGACCGAGACGACTGGCGATCGTGTGGAACCCTCTTCGTAACCGCCTTGATGGAATGTCATTTTAACCGTCTCATATCTTGCTGATTGTTGCAGGTCCGGGTCTGCATATTATGAACCGGTGCCTGGTGTCTTACGTAGCTTTCCTCGATTCGGTGGTGGGTGAGCCAACTTGCAATTTTTGCCGTTTGATCGTACGCATGTGCGCGCTGGGAATCTCAATCTCGACCTTGTCCGACGTTCTGACCAGCCCGTCGGGCAAGCGGAAACTCCCGCCTTTCAGATGCGAGTATAGTATAAAAGACCCGTGGTGTCGAGACCTACTTCAGCGTGCATTCAGCCTCACTTTCCAAGTTTACTAGGATAGGTCTCCCAGCATGAGCACAACCTCGCTGATCAGCCACCCTTGCACCATCTGCCAGCTGCCGACTACTATGTGGTGCAGTCGCTGCCAGAACGCCTGGTACTGCTCGCCTGATCATCTGCAAACTGTGCGTACCATCGTCGAGCACTCATTCGAGCGGCTGTTAAATCATTCATGCTGTCATATTACCCAGGACTGGCCGCGGCATCGCCAGGAATGCATTCCTGCGAACCCATCACTGCAGTCAAACGTCATAGCGACACCACCCGCAGTGCAGCAACAGCTCATCCCGGTAACTGGCATCTTGTTCGCGCCGGAGGACGGTATGTCGGATCGATTGCTACCATCTCTTCCTCTCGCTAACGTGCGCAGAGCGATCTCGCTTAATCACCGTGCAGTGCCGTCCGCAAGGCACGCCTTCTCAGGGAATGTGTCCGTTGCCGCTTGTTCAGGACTTCTTCTCTGAGAGCGTACCAAGCACGATCATCCTAACGCAGGGCCTCAACGGCGAGCCCTTGAGATTCCCGTTACATATCTGGTATTGCCCCAAGGCGTTGCAGAGGGGTTCTCCGGTGAATCGCGCGATTTACCGCATCACTTCCGGAGCCGCAGCGAAGCCTTGGTGCGGTACCGTGATCGTTCTAAAGTTCAATGGCTCGCGTAGACAAGGCTATTCCGATGCCGGAGCGAATGATCTACCCGCACTCTCGGCATATTTCCTTGCATACAAGTAGTCAGCTGTAAGTTTCTTCGTTGCAACTGTATGGCAGCGCTGACGGCATATCTGGCATAGCAGATCTCCGAGCTCCCGTCACAGGCGATGGTGACGCATCTGTTCCTCCACTCCTAATCCGATAATCCCGCGTTTACTTTGGCTCCGAGTTGAGCTGATGGCAGATACACTCAAGATTAGGACGATATGTCAAAATGCACTCACATAGCGCACATTTGTATTTATTCCGGAACGTCTCTCTGTTTTGTAGTACTTAAACGTTGCTCTTCGTGTAATAAAGTCTTCTCATGCAACAGGTCCAGACTTTTAGGCTGCAGGCTCCATCATGCTCTAGGTTTCAAAATTTCATGAATCACATCTTGGAGTTCCTGGAGCACGCAGAGGGATCGACAGATATCCTCGACACGTAAGTGGCACATCAATGTCACAGAATAGACTTTGGGGGCATAGTTTGCTCGATCAACCGGGATGATCCTTAAACGTGGAGATAATAATGTTCACCGAGGGCCACCGATGAAGTCGCAGTCCACGGAAGAAACATTGTGCGTTGGACTAGTGAGACGGGATTCTTGACTTCCGAGATCATTCTTAGCAATGATACAATAGTGCTGTCGGCACTGTCCACCGATCAAAGCTTCACTCGTCCATGAGAAACGTCAACATTCTCCCGCATTCTGGCGTACGTGCTCGCGTGGAATTCTTGAGAGACTGGACAGCATAGTCGTTGTTTCATCAGAGATCTGCATCTGCACATCGAGATCAAGCCGCTGTGAAACCGATGAAGCTCCTGAGACGGGCCTGCGCTCCGACCAGGAAACCTGCCAATGAAGCCGCAGATGTTCACGTTCAACATTCGCGGGCCTTCGACGTAGGATCCTGAGCAAAAAAAAGTCAAACAGGGCGTGCACATAGATGGGACTCAAATGACCCACGTGAAGTCCAACCTGCGTACGGTGAGTTTCAGATCGGAAACCATTCGGATCTCGCGTGTGGTGCTGTCGCTGCCGTATGGTCACACTGACAGCATCGGACTCCTTCACAAGCGATACCGAGCCCCGAAGACTGCTTATGCCTTCAACCATTCAATTGAGAGCTCAAATACCTTGTGGAAGACGACCCCGACAGTCATCATGTGGGAAATGACAGCAACGCGTGTTCGAAGACATCGCAATGTGGCAGCTTATGACCATAAATGAGCAGTCATGGTTACCACCCCAGACGCCGGGGAAGGCAGACGTCAGAGTCAAGGCCCACCTATCCTCTCCGGTCTGTTGCAGCGCGAGTACCGGTGGTCCGGTTGTATGAGCTTTCACAAGTTGGTCGTCATACAAAGTCTTAGAGCGTGCCTAGATGCCGCTTATACTGCGTTCGCGACTCTGACAGGGACTTCTTGACCTCATCACAACAAGGTGAATCTCATAGAGCGATTTGGGCTTAGAAATAACATGACAAGTAGAGCAAGAATTTCTGCCTAGCTTAGCTGACTGAAGCAACGGTCCGATAGCCATCATTGACATTTGTAGTAGGCGCAATGCGGGTTGACATGCTCTTGGGCTGCGCAGCAGGATGCCTTCGAGATCGGTCTGTGTGAATGCTATACACAATTAACAGATGGCGCTGCAGATGATCATTGCCTAGAACAACACCGCCCGTGGATGCCTGCACACAGGCTGCACATCAGATCAGCAATTACACGCTCATAGCACGAGTCGTGAACAAATACGTACATCAAAAATGAACTCCCGGCATCCTGTAGGTCTAGTGCGTTCGGTCATATACCATATACGCATACTACACGTGCTTCGGTAAGATGCACACCTTTTTGAGCCTCAACACATGTATTCGAAAGCGTGAAACCTAATGAAACACTCAATTGCACGACTGAGATGACAAAACATACGAGTTCTCAGGCTTCCTCTTCATCAGCACTGGACTCGCCTTCGCTTCCGTCATCATCCCCGTTCTCGTTGTCCTCATGGTCGTTTTCGTCGTTCTCGACCTCTTCTTCCTCCTCTTCTTCATCTGCAGGCTGTATAGGAGGCGGCGGCGGCGGCGGTGGAGGTGGATTATTAGCACTCGTCCCGCTCGCCATCTTTCTAGCTTGTGCTGCCTTCTCAGCCAGCTCTCGAGCCTCATCCACAGGAAAGAGTGTGTCCAGAGCGAGGTCCTTCCACCGCAATGAACCGTTTACTCCACCTCCGGAGTACCCCATATCTTCGAACAGTGCACGCGATCCCGGGTCAAAAGGCCGCCGAGGTCTAGCGGCAGGATGTTTCAGATTAAGCGGATTGCCGTAAGGGTATGACGGATGTACTTGTGATGGAAGGACTAGAACGACAGGTATATCCATAGGCTCGAATATGAACTCGGGCGATACGCACCGTCCGAGTCGTCCGGATTCGGAGGAACCATGTGTGATGGCACGTCGACGTCTGGAGGCTGATGTGACAGATGCTCCGAAGAATGAATGCAGATGCTAACCCTCATCAGATAATTCGCCGCTCAGATAGTCAGGAGTGCCAATGGTATCCAGGACTTGCAGGTCGTATCGCATCATGTACAGATAGCCATAGGTCAGGTCCTGCGAGGCGATGCGCATCAGGTTAGCGACATTAGCGATCAAATCGGATGTCCGCCGATGTGCGCACTGTCATGGCTAAAATCTTTGGCGAGAGAGCGGACCACAACGATGCGGTCGGAATTCGACTTAATAGTTGTTGAATGAGGAGGCTGTGGCTGGCTGCGTGGAATCTGAAACGCGTCGGTGGCGTGAGAGAACTAACTGGTTCACAACTGAATCCGCGCTCCGCGCCGCAAAAGGACAGCGCCGACTCTCATTTCGCGGTCTTCCAAAATTCTCGAACGTCCATAGCACCTTGTAAACACGGCCGTTTATCGTTAGACCTTTTGCTTTATTGCGAACGCGGCCCAATTACTACATCTGACGGTCAACCCGTCAGGGTTGTCAGATTTCACGCAATTTCGCGGTCTTACAGTCATCTGCAACCCAATACCGGTGAATAGTTGCCAGATCATGATAGACGGCAGCCTGAACTTACTTTCAATGACAGCAAGAAAATGGCGCATGCGGTGGTTTTCAGTGCCCTGAGTCTACCTGCGGTGTCGGCGTCACCGTCAGCAAAATGTATTCAATGGACTGGCGACGGGCAACTGTTGTTGTTGACCAAATCAGCCGTGTATATATTGGTAGCTGATATTTCATGGTTCTTGGCTTCATATCAATATTCTTGCCGTAGACCCCTGATATAGGCATCAAGGCAGAGAAATCGGTTCGGACACAGGATCTGGCCGACGCGGAGCATGCGCAGAGAAGTTTAAGATCCATGAGCTGGTCGAGGACCATGGTCGCATTTGATAAGACACTCGTTCATCACTGGCCTGCCGATTGCCAAGGTAACTTGTCGCCGACCTTCCTTGGCTGATGCGTCTGCTCAGTGACCTATTCAGATTGGGGAGCGGTGTCTTTAGGTTCTCTCGATCCAGTGCTGCGGGCCGTTTCTCCCTCTCCTAGCAATCTAACAGCCGATGCAGGGTCCGTCTTCCCGTCTAGAAATCCAGACGGAACGGGGATGAACGCTGACACTAATTCGCCAGATGTCTCCTTGCTGTGCTCAACTCTAATATGGAACTAGCCTTATGGGGACCGGTGAAGAATTTTCTTAGAGGAGAATGGGCAAAGGCTCGTTTATTGTCTTCCGCCGACGTCTCGCGGCTCATTTTTATTTGCAGCTCTTAGATATCACCGTTGAGCTGAAAGTTCAAATCAGTGCCACTGATGCGCCCACTCTTAATCAGACGCTTGAGGCACAAACTACCTGTACGTCTTCGGAGGAGGATAAAAGGCCGGATGTCGTACCGTGCATCTGACCACCATTATTTGTAGGCATTGAATGGTCATCGCAAGCCGATTTCGGATTCAGGCCCGCACAGCAACTCGACGGATCCCTGCTTGCTGTCGGAAATAAAGCCGGATGCGTCACACTTCTCAGGTATGCGATATCAGACACACTCATGACGTGATGAGACCTAGACATAATTACGGGCAGATTTGGTGGTAAGAAAGGGACGTGGACGGTCCGACGCATGGCTACATTCACGCTTAGTGATAGATGGATAACTCATGTGGCATGGTCAACTTGGAAACCATCCCAAAACGGCGCATGTGAGTTCCAGCCGCTCAATCGACCATATTGGTATCGTTAAATAGTAATTATTTCCTAGGTGAAGCTTCGCTTGCATGTGGTACCTCTGATGGGTCCGTGTTTCTCGTCCGAGTTGCGCAGGTGCTACGAGCTAGTCCGACAACTTCCGAGCCACCGCCTGAGTTTGATATGAACGTAATATCAGACTTCCAGGACGTCAAAGTGTGTGAGAGCGACCACCGCAGTATCACTGCTTTGAAATGGGTCAATATAGCCAATAGCCACGTAAGCAGATCTGATCATTGAAATTTGCTAGTACACTGGGCTGATTATTCAGAACCGGCTGTAGGCGGTGTTAGTATGTTCTAAGCCTGGTCTCGTTCATATTTGGGTATCTCCATCGTCAGACTGTACCTGGTCTGGCTTGCAAACGTTCCCATTTGTCAACCAGAAACTCTCAGTTGGCGCTTCCGCCATATGTGTAGTCTCCGGTGTAACCTATATTCCGAAAGAAGACGCCCTGGTGCTTTGCCTTACGGATGGATCATTCTATGTCGTACATTCAGTGTCAACGGCTCCGACGTCGGTGCCCACTCCCTGTCCCGGATTTTCCTCACGCGCGCTCTCACTCGCTGCGCGGAAAATATTCGTGGATGTCGAACCAGATGAAGTATCGTTCAAGGATGTAAACCGCATCTTCGGCATGTCAAGCTATGATGACCTCGGCACGTTTGTATGGCTTCACGAGTACGTTTTACGAGGGAGTTCTATTCTAACGAGCTGCTTTCTAACCACGTGCGCTAGGGCTTCCCAGCCCACAGATTTCAGCTACAAGCACGATGCAAGGCACATAAGCATGTTCGTAGCAGCACGACTGTCGGAAGGCAGCTCGGATGAAGAGCTTCTTACCGATATTCAAGCACGCATTCTCTCGGCGAGGACGTGTATGTGAGATCGTCGATGCTAAGTGCGAGAACTCACTCATGTCGTCTTCCAGTTTCCGGCGAAGCTCCCAACGCGCGGCTCCGGCCCGTTCTGCTACACCTCACGGACTCGGAAAGGCTATCACGCTTGGCAGAACGCCTCGTACAAGTACTCCAGTCCTCCCGTCGGCCTCCACTCGACGCATCGAGTGAACTTCAATCATTCCCAGGAGGGTTGACAGAACAAATGCGAAGTGCCTTCCGAGACAGCTTATCCAAACACATCTTCGGCTCAGACGCTCTTCTGTCAGAAAGGATGATTTATTATGTAGCAATGTTCTGTGAAGTGAGGCTTCCTCGGTAGCAGGGTATTTCTCTACTGATTCCGCTTGCCAGCATCACGCAACGGATCCTATTGCGAGAGAGGCTTCCTCGCGCGTATCAGAAGAATCATGTGCAACTATTCAAATCTACGTTATGCGAACGCTGATGAGGCACATCAGCTCTGTTGTCGACGCATTAACGCGTATGCTATCCTCTCGCGACTCCGCGAACGTGCTCTGATGGCAGACATAGCTGAAGACGTCTCGTTTGCTCAAAGAGCTGCTTTCCAAATGATGCAGCCTGGGCCATCAATTTCGCTTTTAGAAGAGGCGCAACAACTACTGACAAGGCTCAAGGCTGTTAGTCCACATGATGGCGAGATCGACACTGCCGAACTTTGCCCTGCTTGCCATGCACAAGTACCTCTGCAGGACAGCTCCTCCGCAGAATGTGCGAATGGCCACACCTGGGGTAAGTAGTCATATCGTACTCCAAGCAGAATTAACGCCAGTCGTTGCTTCGCAATTTTTTTAACAGTCAGGTGTTCCATCACTTCATATATCCTCGCCACGCCGATGGTCCGAACCTGCGTAGGCTGCGGTCGAAAGGCGTTCCTGCCTCTCTCACAAACCACCACTGGCCAGAATTGGGTCCCTGCTGCTGTTCGAGACAGTTGGCTGGCTGCGGACGTTTTAGATGCCACCAGGAGATGTCTTACCTGTGGAAGTAATTTCGTAACGCTCGTCTGATCCTATTGTCGTCGCATCCTCCATAAGTGACATCTTCGCAAAGCCCACCCTCTCACAAAGAGAGTAATGCCAACTGTTGTGAGATTCAGAGAACGATGTTTATATATCGGTTGCCTCAAGATGTTACTTGGGCGTCCGTCAATGTATAAAATTGTTCTCATTGGACAAAGCTACTCTGCAAAAGCGCGGAGCATCTGGAGGCCATCACATTGGGTGCCTGAGACTACGTCAAGTGGTATGTATGCGTTTGAATCGCAGTTGTAGGGACATATAGCAGCGGGCAAGGAAGTGGCTTTGTGGCCGTATATTAGTTGCCGTCCGGCATGTTTCATGGACAACGTAGGTACTCAGTACTCATCCACACCACTAGCGGTTAGTCGGAATCATCCAAACCGGCATGACTTTCTCATATCACAAGATGCGTGTTGGTGCGTACAACCTTGGCCATAAACCTATCACGCATAATGGCTGCCTCACCATCTAATTGAAACAGACGAAGCCCTGTCATGAGTTTGGCGCGCCCGAGCGGACAAAAGTATATTGTGCTCGAGATAACGAGAATGACGGTTTATGCTCACCTAGTTAGGTGTTAAAATCGGATAGCGCATTGATTTCGGCACGTTTCTGTGTATATATGCACCTCAAAAAGGATTATTCGCCTATGGTCGTTGATTATGCTTATGCTTTGATTGACACGACGCATTTCGGCATGTTCCGATCTGTCACATGAGTCACGCAGGCGCGCTTGCACCACTATCTCCATTCCGAGCCATTCCGTCGGCCATGTATCCTGCTAGAGCACCCTTCACACGCAAACGGGTGATGCCGCTCAACTGGCAGAGCAAAAGCGGCCCTGTCTCATGTTTCTGAGCCATGTACAGTGCATGACCTGGGGTTTCTCGATGCTGCATCTTTGAGGCATCACCACCCAGCACTATGAGAGAGACCGACATTGGATCCGGGCCATTCACGGATGCTGCAGGAGAGGCAGACACTGCGAACATGCCTGTATTGTTCAGGAGGATGTGTAACTACACTAGCGGCCAGCAGAATCCCATCAGACCATTCTATTTTACAGAACATCCAGATCTCAACCACGCACAGTGTCCTTGATGTGCATGTTCCACCGCCACTGTCATTCTGCTGCCTGGTCTATCATGTCATTTTGGGCTGGTAGAGGGGAAGTACTGAGAGAGGAATCGAGGAGGTGGGCTCTGCGCAGTGAACACCTGGGCACTTGTAGGCACGGAGGTGAGAGGAAATGAAGGAATATATTTGGTGGCGCAGCCTGAGCACAAGCGCGCGTCATAAACACAAGTCTTAACTGTAAGTGCAAGCCGCTTACATCAGGTGCCAAAGCGTACGCCACAACGCGAAAGCACAAACGAGCCGATTCTAATCAAAATAGTCCAAATCTTAAGCTCACATAATTTTGTCCGCTGGCGCCCCTCATACATGAGGCAGGCAGACAGTTGTCAGAATTGAACCAGAGACTTAAATCTTTGTCTATAGTCTGAGCACTTATGCTCAGGTGCTCGAGTCCGTAGTACGTACTATTTTCGGGAAAATGGCAGTCACTACTCTCGATGGATTTCGCCTGTCATACGGGGCTAATACTGAATGTCCCACGCTTCCACATCCGAGCCGCCATCCTCGCGCTAGCCGCCTTAGATAAGTACACGAGCCTTCGGTCCCTTGACTCGGGAGTCATGCCATTTAGATCTCTCCTTTAGCATTCATCCAACATACCCACGAGAGCTACTTAAGTTCATGGGAAACGTTAACCACCAGAGCAAGGGAGCTCTCCCGCTGGTCGCATCTACGACGGCAAATGGAGACGCCGCGGCGCCGCGTTCGTCTCTAATCTGGAGGTTGTTATGGCTTACAGTCGCGTTCTGCATCGCCTACCTGCTCTATCCTGAACGAGAAGTGACATCTCCACTTCTTAAAGTCTCTGCCGACCCCAATTTCGACTGGTTCTCGGTACGTGCTCTCACCAACGCTGCCATCACTGTAACACTGACCTTGAGAGAAGCTCGATCCCTCTGACGACATCAATTGGACACCGTGCTATGAAGAGTACCAGTGCGCGAGACTCATCCTTCCTCTGGACTACCTATCGCCGCGCGGATATGGTCCTAATGTGACCATCGCTATGCAAGTGCTTCCCGCCACAGACAAGCAGAATTACAAGGGAACCATACTGATAAACCCCGGCGGTCCCGGAGGCTCGGGAACTGACATACTCCGGCGACGCGGAAAGGACATCTCGCGCATTATAGGGGGTTCGTTCGACATCCTGGGCTTCGACCCCCGTGGTACCGGAGCTAGCACGCCTTCCGCACAGTGCTTCGACTCCGAGTCCCAGTACCAGATCTGGAGTCTTCAAGATGGGGACACTGTACTTAGCTTGAATGACAGTTCTGTTCCTTTGGCCCGAGCGCGGGAGAGTGTCGTGGGGCAGCTGTGCGAGAAAGCCATCGGAGGCACTGGCAAGGAGGAAGCAAACGGGACGGCAGAAGAGTGGGGTCCGGGTCGCTTCATGAGTACCGCAAGCGTTGCAACTGATATGTTGGAGATCATCGAGAGACTCGGGGAGGAGAGTCTGAAGTACTGGGGATTCGTGAGTGTCAGTTGAACATCGAGAATCGTCTCTGATTCGTGCGTCCTATAGAGCTATGGTTCTGTCCTCGGACAGTACTTCTCCGCCATGTACCCAGACAAGGTCGGACGCGTCGTGATCGATGGCGTGTTTGATGCGTATAACTACCGCGCTACGCTGTGGAACTCCAACTTAGCGGACACCGATGCGGTGATGGAATCGTTTTACAGTTTTGTCACCAAGCCGGTCCCGAGAAGTGTCCACTATACGAGAATTCGGAGGGAGAGATCAAGGCCAGGGTTGATACTATCATGGCAAGTGTACAGTCCGAGCCCGTCGCGGTCCCGTCGGCCTCCAAAGGTCCACTGGTGATTACGAGAAAGATTCTGCATCAATACGCTTTCCAGGCAGCATACAAGCCGACAACCAATTTCGCGCCGCTTGCAGACATCCTTGTCGCTGCAGAAAGCAACAACCAGACTACTCTGGCGGGAATGGCAGAACGTTTGGGCCAAAGCTTCGAATGCAACTGCGAGCAGGCTAGCCCGCAGTGGCTCAAGACCACGGAAGCATTCTATACCATTGCCTGCGGGGATGGAGAACAGATCGCATACACGCCAGAAGGCTATCGCGAGTGGTTCACAGACCTTTACTCCAAGTCCTCCTTCGGAGCACCCATCTGGGGCCTCGAGTACCTGAGGTGCTCGGAGTGGAGTATTCGACCCAAGTGGAGGTACACCGGCCCTCTCGCGGCAGAGAATACATCGCACCCAGTCCTCATTCTGTCACCAACGTATGACACAGTATGTCCCCTTTCGGATGCGCGCGCAGTTCACGCACGGTACGGAGGTTCTGGGCTGCTGATCCAGAACTCGTATGGTCATTGTTCTATAGCTGCGCCATCTGTTTGCACTGCCAAACACTTGCGAGCGTACTTCGAGAACGGGACGCTGCCAGAGGACGGAACTATGTGCGAGGTGGACGAGTTGCCTTTCGTGGGTGTGGTCGAGGATAGGGTTAACGCGATGTCGGTGGAGGATAGAGGGCTGCTAGAGGCATTAAGAGGGCTGGCGAAGGAAGTGCCGATGTTTGGAGGGTTCTGAGGGATGATCTCCGCATTTCACCATGACAGAGGGGAGGGCGTTGTCGCTCATTTCAGGAGCGTAATCGAGCATTTGGGATCCAATTGTATTTACCTGGAGAGGAAGTGTATAGCGCCATACAGCGCAAGTCGGAACTATGTGTGCAATGTGCTACTGAATCCTCAGCGGCATTCTTCAGCAGGGATTGAAGTTATTATGCTGGCACACCGTGATTAGACTGTATAACTGAGTGAGGATATGTGCATCAGAGTGTGGGTTCCGAGATAGGATGTATGAAGCTCTACAGGCTTGATTGAGTCCGTCCAAGAAAGTACGAGATTATGTTGAGTATAATTCCCCAGAAATCGACAAGAACGATATATTTGCGTGATGCGTATCACGCAGTTGTCTCGGACGGATTCCCTGAGACAGTCTGTACACTCTCGTAAATCTCCCGCCTTTGCAAGGATTCTTGTAGTTCTGCTTCTCGATGGCGCATCTTCTCTTTTCGCCGCTGATCGTCCCGCAATACACCCTGATACATGGTCTAGAACATGAATGTTGAATTTTGTCCTATATCGTACGTCTAGCATGCTCACCTCGCGTTCCTGCGATTGCAAGCGATGCACACCCCAGATTATAACAGTAGAAGTCACCAGGGAGGCCACCAGGGTCGCTTTGGCCAAACGAGACATGCACGGATGAGATTCCTCTTTGATCGAGCACTATGTTACTTGTTAGGTTCAGCAGAGGTCAAGTGTGAAGAGTACAGACGGAGTGAGTTGTAACGTAACTCGAAGACGTTGTGAGCTCGAGGATGTTGCTCGGATCGAGTCGGCTTTTGCCACTGAGATCGTCGATTCCAATTGGGCAAGCCAGCAACTAATCCCACACTGGCTCTGTGATACGAAATACTACCTGCCGAACATCCCTATATATGGAGATGAGAAAGTCGATTGGCCATGCGCGAAAACGATGAGGATGCCAGTAATAGTCGACAGTCGTTACGCCAACATATCTCGAGTTCGCTCGGGACCAACTATTTCGAGATGATAACGACACGAGACGTACTAGAGATTCGTAGGGTACGGCTTAACACGCTATGCCAAAAGCCACGTCACTAATGTGCTGGTATATGAGAGTGAAGCATGTAAGTAGGTAAGAACAGAGACAGAAGATCGACGATCCGTAGTACATGTGCACTGTAGATTACAACATCAGGAGATTCCAGATTACAACAATGACCGGAAGCATAGAGCATGAGGGAAGCATGAAAATTCGTTGGTATGCGAGATTTTTGGATGGCGAATGCGGTGCCACAAGGTAGGAGTGCGTAAGGTCGTAAGTCTGTAGAAGACATGCATCAATCGACCGCTCCAACGCTTTTCGGACGACGCACCATGACCAAGAGGCCAAAACACACCCAGCTAGTCAGATGAAAGACGACGCTTTCTCGGGCTCGCTTCGCTCGGCAGTGGAGGCGGCGGCATCAAGTCTGCTTGAGACATCTGACGACGGTGCTGACGAAGTCGCTTCTGGCATATCTTGCTCACGAAATTCAGCGCCTTCTCCTCGTCAACCTTGAGGATGGCATCCTCCGACATGACGGTCTCGCGAGACTGGGTGCTGCGGAGACTCAATGTCCGCTGGCGGCCATGAGTGGCGGGCGAGGGTGGAACTTGGAAGTCCCAATCGCTCATCTCGCTCGGCGACGAACAGCGCATGGACACGTCGCCGGCGTCATTCCCATCGGGATGATCCTCGCTGTGGTCTGGCTGCGGTGCAACAGTGCGACGCCTTTTGATGTTCCTTGACAGGGTCTCTGGGTCAATCCCGGCCCTCAAGTCGACGGTCACGGTATTCCTCCTCCTGTGGTTCGTCGGAAGTGGCTGATACTTGGACTTCGACTCCATCAACACGTCCGCGACGCGTTTCGCGAACGCGCTCAGATCGGGTGGCGGATCAGCGACGTGTTCATTCGAGCGCGGCTGTTGCTCATCGACGGCCATCGCGTCATCGTCGCGAACGGCGTCCGTCTTCTCTCGTGATGCAGAAGCTCGCGGTGGAGGAAAAGAGTAGTCGGTGAAGGATGAGGGATTTGCCTGCGCTTGGGCCTGTCGTAGGGGGATTGACGCCTCCGAGTACGCTCTGGTGCGCACGACAGGCGCGGAACTTTTGAAGATAAACTCTGGTGAGATAGAGCGATGATCACCAGAGGCTAAACAAGAGAAGAAGCTGGAAAGCCTGGCAAACTCGGCTGCCTTGTCCGTCATCCTGGAGATGCTGTACGAGCGTAGACGTCCGCAACGCAGGATGGGTTGCTCGTCGACGGGAGGAATTGGGCAGGAACTTGATGGGCTTTAAGCCTAGGTGGCCGATCAGCCACGTGCATTCTTTGTATTTCTGACGACGCTAAGCGACAAGCCACGCGCAGCGCTAAATACGATAAGTTTGATGGTCAATGATTGATGGCTTTCACAGCTGACCTACTCACTGCAGTAATCCCCGTTCATCTCCGTGTGAAGAGAGCGAAGTAGAAGGCTCAGGAGCAAAAAATGGCATCTCGGTTTATCGCGTACTATGTTGCGCACCGTTGCTCCGTCCTATCGTTAAGTTATCCCGGCATCCGGACTTCATATTGATCGCTTGATCGCGTAATATGAAACGCCTAGCGGCGCCACGAGGCTTGAAGCCGTCATGTTTCTCTTCTCTCAGCATACCGTAAGTGCCTGAATAGGCTTGAACGGACTCATGCACGGTACAAGGGTGAAACTCACAGCCGATGACATTCCAGAATTCACTGCTGAGCCTGAGCTAGCATTTCGCCCGATTGCTCTATGAGGAGCTACAATCATTCGACGTACAAGCGTCGATGGTCACCGAACCATGCTTCTAGATGCAGCGTCAGACCTGCGCTGCAGGGTCGATCGTGTAAGGTAATTTGGAGCTTCGCGCAGTCAGTAACGCAGCAACATCCCCGACATGAGCCGTGAGGGTCTGATCTGCTCATCATATTTACTGCTTCATTTGTAGGCATGTACATGGAGAAATCTTTGCATAGACAGCGTGTTTGAAGGGCAGTAGAAGTTGTCGAGACTGTAGTCCGCCATGTCTACCAAGGCGCCCTCCTTGCTTGGATGAATCCATCGATTCTTCGGATCCACAACGTAGTCACTCTCGCCCCCGCGTCATCTCCAGGTTGATCCTCAGCAAAGAAGGTATTCCAGGAGATCGTCTTAAGGAACGGCAGCGTCCTAGCTATGGAAACACTGGCGATCAGTTCCTTCTGCCTGACCGAGGAAGAGTGTCGCTCCAAACAGGCAGGGCAGGAATCAGGTCCGTAAGTCCCGACGAATTCTACGTTGAATTCATGCCAGTGGGAGAGATGTTCGTAGAGCAGGTCAAGATCAGAGAGAAAGATGCCTATGAAGAGATGTTCGAGACGTTTCAAAGGCTTGAGAGCCGTTGCGAAGGCCACCTGTGAGCATAGTCAATGCAAGCTGCGACAGTGGGAAGAGAATCAAGAGAGTCAAGTATACCGATAAGTCTTCAACAGAGCTATGACAGTCAGGAACGGGAGAATGATCAGAGCAACTGGAGGATTCTTCATAGCATAGCCAGCAGCAAGCTTCATCCAGCCGATCGGCGCAGGTCAGATCAAGCATCTCGAGAGCAGTGAATCGCGAAGCAATCAAAGCGAGCAAGTGGTGGTCAATACGCGGCAAGCATTTCAGCCTGAGTTCGGTGATATTAGACGTGAGGTGAGAGAAGATGAACGAGATCCGGTCGGATTGCGTGGCGAGGCCGTCGGAAGAAAAGTCAAGTTCGATGATTTGTAGTCTCTTGAAGCAGCCGAGCAACGAAGGTTGTACAGAGAGCGTCCCAGAGAAGCAATGCAAGGTCCTGTATGCGCATATATCTGCTTAGCCTAGCGCATATAGTCAGAGTCAGTGCAACTGACCGAACCCAATTGAACACGCCAGGTATCTGGCAGCATCGCGTCCAATGTGCGGCGGACTTCGCATGGAACTTTGCGAAGAATCGTTTGAGCACCAGCTGACGAAATTGGCGCGAGACAAGGGAGAGATTGGCGATTGACGAGAATGCATGGTTCGTCGCGAAACGGAACGCTACGAGTTCTTCGAGTACCTCGATGGGCAGTATGCACTAAAGACGAAACTAAGGGAGAGCAATCGATCTATCGCAGAGACTACGCACTTTGCGAGTTTGAAAGCGCCCAATATATCGTGATCGCTCTTCGAGACCGTCAGTCGAAGGCATGTCATCCAGAAACCCGGTCCGCAGACATATATTGAGCACGATGACCACGTCCTAGGAATGTGAGCCGAGAGACTGTTGGACGACTGCAGACACCAGGAAGCAGAAAAGCGGCAATCGGCATGACGGGAACTGGACTGGCACGTGCCCACGAGCGTCTAGACGCGCCCCTCCTGCTCGATCGTAGACGAGGCTGTACACAGACAACACAAGCGATATTTCGAAGTTCAGAAACGTACCCAGAGATGTATTGGTCGTTTTGCAGATACGGCAACCTAATGAAGACGACAGCACTGCGCATCTGAAGCAAGATGCACAGAGATTATATCCAAGGTACAACAGGATACAGGATATGCAGCATGTGGTCAGCAGCACGATATACGGCTGTGCCAAAGAGATGAGAAAGGGTAGCAATGAGGGTGGAATGGTCCGTTGAAAAAACAATAGCGAGATCCGATGCAATCGTACAACACGAGAAGGAAGTGTGAAAGGACGTTAGAGATCATAGCCGTGTTACGGCCTTGGCATCCAGCGGCATTCCTGCAAAAGCATCTCTCAGCACTCAATTTACCCTTTGCACTAGACAGCATACTCACCAGAGGGGTCAACACCGTTGGCAGCGAGAACCCGATTCTGCCGAATCAGCCTCGCCTGGTCGAAGCTGGATAAGCATATGATGAGAAGCACGGTGAGCAGACCGTCCCTCAGAAGGAACATATGCCAGAACTCACTTGACCCTCTCAGTGCGCATGATCTCCAACACCTCCTGAGTACCACGCTCATCTAGTCCAGCCCTTGAGTCCCCCTCTCGTATGTTCGCCTCGATGTCAAACGACGAGGAAGTGATCCCCGCGTCAGCTTGCTCAGCGAAAGTACGCAACGGTGTATAATGGCCAAGTCCGGGGAACATGGACTTGACCCGGTTAGGGACATAAGGGATGAGAGTGGCACGGTAACGAAACGTCACTAGGGGCGCATCCGTGAGTACAAATCTCAACGTCAAGGCAGAACACTCAAATGTGGGGGGTACGTACACATTACCAGTAATGCTGACAGGGCGAACACGGACAGCCAGAAGAGCATTTTGAATGTCGACTTATGTACGGCAAGTGGTCGCTGAAGGGTACGTTTTGCCGATGGAAGCATCGCAATCGGCTCTTGTGATACAGGAAGCGCCCGCGATCCCCATCAGGGCTTTCCGCACTCGCCGCTCAAGCGCTCGTTCACGTACGCAGGCCCGCCGAGGTTCCAAATTCCAACCCTTGGATAGTAGCTCTGTATACCGTTTTCTAGTCCACTTACATTGAGCGACTCTGCATTTCCCTTTCAACGTCAACGACAAAGATGCCTGAACCCCTTAAAGTGTGTCCGTTCCCTACTACGTGATGCGCGGTCGGAACCTTGACCCAGGTCTGTTAGAGGACAATTGAAATTCTTCTATGTTCCAGGCCCGCAGCGCGGCTCGAGCTTCTGACCCCCCCTGCGGAACGTGCGATGCATGTTTCACTGTTTTTAATAGAAGCAGGCAGACTTTGTTGGCGCAGTGTTTGCATGTTCTTGCGGCGAACAAGAATACAACACTCCAGATTGATTGTCATCAGCTCTGCTGTGATTAGTAGTCTCCGAAAGAGCTATGCACGTCCCCCTGCCAGTGTCTCGATATCGGATCATCGTTAGATTTTGAGTCGTTTAGATGCGGCTTTTTAGAGAAACCTCAGGCTAAGCCCCGTCAGGTGAACAACAGGTAACAACAGGCAGCATCGGTCAATAGGCTGATCATGGATGTTCATGGATGTTCATAGTGCGCCTGAGCCACTCGAGGCGAAGCGCCCGCTTTAATGCTATTTCCATTTGCGGCAGCGTCATTGTGGAGCACGTGGCGTGTGGCAACGCGGCTCAAGCGGGCTGCTTCACCGTGATCAAGTCCTCCACCTCCGGCATACTGTGCCTCCTGCTCGGTCCTTAGCATCATCTGTAGGGCTGCTTAACATGGATCAGGTATGGCCTATATGTGACCTCTATATAGTGCTGACTTTGTAGCACAGGAATCGTTCAGGAAGTTCCTCCAAACCCCCAAAGCAACTGGTTCGAATACATCGACTTCTCGCGGCTCTCTGCTCGCAGCCGCTGCCATTAAGTCAAAGCAGTGCGTGCTCTCGAAACACTATCCATGAAAGACATCCTCATTGACTCAAATCTGGCAGAAAGGCTGTAGAAGCTGGTCAGCCAGCGTTCAAGCCACGGACAGTCAAGAAGAAGCCCCAAGGGTTACAGCCATACCGTGACCGGGCCGCAGAACGACGGCTTGGGCTTGATGGCGACTATGCGCAGGCATGTCTCCCGTGCATGTTGGCTCAAGAAGGCGGGCTTACACTGATCACAGGTCGAAGCTCTCGCCGAGGACTTCGAGCGCAAGAATGCTGAGAACGCCGATCGCCAAGCTGTACGCATTCACTCGTTACAGACTAGTTGTGACGCTATAACTGAGGCACGCAGGTAGAAGAACAGCGGCGATATCTTGGTGGCGATAGCGATCACTCTGTCCTCGTCAAGGGCCTTGACTACGCGCTGTTCGAGCAGAATCGCGCACGAGTATCGGCGTCGGCTGCTGCAGAGGATGATTCATCGCTTGAGCAAGCCTACCTGGAGGCATCCGCCAGCGTACCTAAAAAGCGGACGCGTGAGGAGATTGTACTAGAGCTCAAAGCGAAGCGAGCAAAAGGAACGACAGCGAGTGAGGATACAGAGAAGAAAGTCGCGGCTTCTGATGCCAGCTTGGAGGAGGCAAAGAAGGCAGGTAAGTTCAGGCCGATAGGCTTCAAGTCCACAGGCGAGTTGAACGAGAAGTCAAGAAAGAAGAAAGTGAAGAGGACGGCAGTAAAAGAGAAGGATGATGGGACGAAGAAGAGAAAGGCGGATGTTCCCGACGCTGAGACACCGTCCATACCATCGACAGCAGCGCCAGAGGCCGGCCCTTCGGAATCCGCTCCTGCTCTTCCGCCTCCAGTAGCGAAGCCTGAGCATGAGCCGGAACCATTCGATGAAGACTTCAACATTTTTGCAGACGCGGGAGAGTACATAGGCGTGGAGATGGGCGACGATGATGAGAGTGAAGATGAAGCACAGAGCGACGAGAACGACAAGCATAATGATCAAACGAAAGAGCAGCCTCATTCCAGAGGTCAATGGTTCGCCATTGAAGAGGGCGAGCGTAGCCCCTCACTGACGGAGGTTCCTGTCGAGCCAAGTCCACTTGAAGCTACTCATCCAGAGCATGCACCTCCGCCTGCTGTTCTGTCTGATCATGAGGAAGGACAAGAGGAGGAAGAGCAGCAGCCGATGCGCTTGCAGCCGCTCGCATCTTCCGTGCTGCCGTCTATCAAGGAGCTCTTGGAGATGGACGCAGCCGCAGGCAAAGCAGGCAAACGGCGTGCAAAGAAGGAGAAGAACAAGGAAAAGCGAGGAGCAGGAGAAGGTAAAGTGGACAAGGAAAAGATTGAGAGGGATTACAAGCGGTGAGCTTCTAGCCAGATCTTGTTGGCGGCACTAAATCAATGGTGTGCTCATGCGCCTCATTCATCTAGTCTCAAGGCATATACGGACAAGAAGGCTGCTGCTGGTGGAGCTTGAATACCGCAGCAGCATATGGGGCTAGCCCACACAACATTAGACGTAGCCGTACGGACCTTCTCTTACCAGATGATCAAGGGTTGTATAGTCCGCCTTTGCCAATTTATCAATTGTATTTGAGAGATGGAGCGCATCGACTATACAAATGGGATACACGGTGCAACGGTGCCACGGGTCAACTGTAATCTGGCGGTTCCGTGTAGTGGGATGAGCGGTGGGCTGCAGTGGGTAAAGTCGTAAGACGTACACCGATATTATAGAAGTATCGTGTAATGTTTGTGACCCCACGTCGCATAGCCGTCACGATGTTGGACCGTTCAAGATCCCGGCGCGTTGCACGAAAGTTGCAAAGGACATCCGCGGGTCTTGTTCTTCTCCGGCACTGTTTACGCCATCAGCCAAGTGACGGAAGCGGACCAGATAGACGCACCGCCGCTTCATCTCACTACGCCATGTCACCTCTCTGAGTTCAGGCGTACGCACTGTTGCACCTACGATGCCTATGGCTAGAGCAGCGAGAGCTTCGAACACGATCTGCGATCGCGAAATAATCAGTCCGCACAGCGGACTTCCGCATGCGTACGTACATCCTGCGGCAAGGAACCTTCTGGCCTTCCAAGCGCTTTCAAATAAGAGAGGTCTGGCTGGACGTTAGACGGGCGGAGCTCGCGAACGTGAGGGGCACTGACGTTCATAGGTAGAAAATGCCGCTGTGTGAGGCGCCGCAAATCAAATCATCTGAGTAGTCGGGACTCGGGGGCCGAGTGGGTCGCGAAGACTAACCGTGCAAAACGACAATGATGGCAGCCACCAGCAGGAGATTTCCCAGCATTTTTCACAGAATACGAGTCCAATATGGTTCGAGCAGGGTGCCGGGTAAAACGCCTCTCGTTGTGCTCGCTGGTGTCGTGGGCGCTGAAGTCGAAAGGAGTGGTGGCCTGATGGCTGATGCGAGAGCGATTACGGGGACGTGCGTCCACGTGATCATGGCGCGTCGGTGGGGGCTCCCCTTTCGTGCCCCACCCAGTCTCATCGCAGTTATATGAGCGGTGCCGGTGAAGCGCAGCACTTACAGTCGCTCCCCTTTCCACGCACCTCCGACGTAGAGATGTCAGAACCTAAGTGAGCGGTCTGTCGGGCTTGTGAGAGCGCGCCTAATACACTCACGGGGTTTCTCCACGTCAGCGCTTCTCAAAACTCCCATGAAACGAAGCCTGCATTTGACCGCAACCAAAGCATCGCATTCCAGACACCCGAGGGCACTGTCCATGTATCCAAACCATTCCGCTCATCCAGAAATAACAAACTGCGCGCCATGATCACGTTTTCGCCTCGCAAGTCGCACTTCGACACTACTAATGAGAGATCGGGTAGAAATGAGTTTCGGGTGCGTCTGCTACGCCGGCCTTACGATAGCGAAATGCTGAAGTTAGGTGTGCTACGCCCAGGGATTCTTCACACTCTTTTGGATATCCATGTTCGTCTTTACCATCGACACCTACATGCACAGCATAGAGGAGCGCGGCTACCCGTTGGAAGGCGCATTCTTCAACCTGTTCTCTCGCGACGCCGTCACGCTTGCGCTTTCCGATGCTGCACTCATTCTCAGTACTGGCGTCTGCGTACCATTTGTCAAGGCGATCCAACATGGATGGATTCGGTACTACTGGATCGGCGTCGTCATCCAAAATCTCTGGCAGACCACTCTCCTCTTTCGCGCCATTAAGTGGACCTTCACTCGCCACTGGCCATGGGTCCAGTCCGGCTTCCTTACTTTGCATACTTTTGTGCTTGTCATGAAGATGCACTCGTACGTGACGACAAATGGCCAGCTGCATTGGGTAAATCAGCAGGCCGAGCGGGTGTACGCACAGCTCCGCCATGCCATCGCGGACGAGGGCTCGTGGGAGGACGCGCTCGCCGCGGCCAGCGCGAACAAGGCTAAGACCGACTTGCAGGAGAATGAGATCGACAAGGCTGCAGACGGCATTGTGAATGGCACTACGGTGACCCCTGATGGCGCGCGGACATCATATCTTGACGCAGATGTCGCACTCGCGCTGCGCAAGCGGCTCGCAGCAAATGGGCACTCAAATTCCATCGGCTTGCCAACGTCATCAGGTAGTACGACGCCCACCTCGCCAGACTTCCCGCCTGTGCGTCCCACGCAAGTTATCACGACCGGTACTCGCCTCATTCTGCCTTCGACCTCACCCATGGACGATGAGAGCTTCCCTCCGACGCCGTCACAGATCCTCGCGCATCACCCGAACCCGAAGATCGCAGAGCTCGCGCGCGAACATGCTGAGCTTGAGGCTGAGCTGACAAGCCCGGGCCCAGCCCATATTCGCTGGCCGGAGAATATCACGCTGAGAGACTTCGTGGTGTACATGTCTATCCCGACGTTGGTGTACGAGATGGAATACCCCCGAACAGACAGGTACGTGCCTGCATAGCGGCGAGCCGGATGCCATTGATAACCCAATTGTACATGCCGTCAGGATACGACCACTTTACGTATTTGAGAAAACTGTGGCAACGTTTGGCACGTTTGCGCTCCTGTACAGCGTCACGGAAAGCTTCATCATTCCTCTGACCCCTTCATCTTCCGATACTATCTGGCGTACCATATTGGACCTATCTTTGCCGTTTATGGTGGCATTCCTGCTCCTATTCTATCTCATCTTCGGTACGTTTTCTCCGGATATAAATGTCTCAGAACGCTGACCGGGTGTTTTGGATCAGAATGTATCTGCAATGGTTTTGCCGAGCTATCCTAGTAAGTGTGTCATCTACCTTGATAAGGTATAGCATGTTTAGCCTCTATTAGTTTCGCAGATCGCCGGTTCTATGATGATTGGGTCAGTAGCGTCTTGAATAGACTTTGGCTCCACGGACTGATGTTGTTGGTTGCTTCTAGTGGAACTCAACATCCTGGGACGAGTTCTCCCGCAAGTGGAACAGGCCAGTACATACGTTCCTACTCCGTCATGTATACGCGTCCACGATGAGCAGCTTCGGGCTGTCGAAGAACGGCGCGATGTTCTTTACGTTTGTTATCAGCGCCGGGGCCCACGAGCTTGTCATGACAATCGTCACAAAGAAGATTCGGTAAGACATTGCACCCAGAGACACGTACGATGATGACTGACGTTCGTTCTCACTATCAGAATGTACTTATTCATGCTACAGGTGTGGTTTACGCGTATGTTGGTCAGATGTTGTCCTCACGTTAATGACTTTATTCCTTTAGCTGTCACAACTCCCTATGATTGCTATCGGGCGACTGCCAGCGATCAAGCGAAATAAATTGCTGGGGAACGTTGTATTCTGGGCCGGACTGTTTGTTGGGCTGCCTCTGCTATGCGTTGCATATGTCGCATACTAAGCGGGCTTTGCGCTTCCCATCCCCAAGAGCTGACCCTTCATTGGATAATCAACATACTAGGCAAACCTGCACGACCCGTATCGCGATACCTCCGGCAACTAACTCAGGATTTCCTGGATCTTCTGGTGTGGACAAATAACTCTCTCTCGATCTAACGGATAGTATGGTTTATTTAATAATGTGCTCTTGCATCTATTGTACGATACAACGCGATCTCCTTGGTATATATAGTTTCTCGCCTTAGCTATATAAAAGCCGCTTGGGGCGTACGATCCTGCTGTCCACTGTGTAGAAAATATGTGCTGACTTGTATATGAGAGCCTGTGTATCACTGAACGATCTTCCTACTGGCAT